AATTATTGTCTCAGGGTTTTCGTTTAACATTGTGAGCGTGATTACAGTTTTTGTGTGTAACTGTGTAAGCATAATTACAAACTTGCCTTGCAGAGCACAGGGGTAAGTGTAAGTGATGGGGGGGGGTCATCAACACCCCCTCCCCTCCCACACAAACACACATACACACATTCATACCAGTGTTTCTTGCAGACTTTTTTCTCCGGTGGGGCACTTGAAATCTTCGGGGGGGGGGGGGGGCGGTAAACTTTCTTCGGGGGGGGGGGGGCGGACACTGTTAAAAGTATATATTTTCTATATAAATTATATAAATTTCATTTCGTTCGGGGGGGGGGGGGGGCGGTAAAAAATTTTCGGGTGGGCTTTGCCCCCCCCCGAAGAGATGCCTGGAAGAAACTCTGATTCATACACACACTCATAGCAAGGCACTGATGTATTAAAAATATTTCTTGGGGAAAGTAGTATATTATCGGCTCTAGTTGAATATTACATTCACAATCGATTGCAACCAGTGGCGTAAGCAGGGAAGGGGGGGGGGGGGGGTAGGGTTAATTATATGTAGGCTATTATTCAGAATATTCCACCTACTAAATTTAGTTTTTATTTTAGATTGAGAGTGGCTTTCGGGCATTTGTCGCATTCGGGCAAGTGTCCATTCGGGCATTTGTCGCATTCGGGCAAGTGTCCATTCGGGCATTTGTCGCATTCGGGCAAGTGTCCATTCGGGCATTTGTCGCATTCGGGCAAGTGTCCATTCGGGGATTTGTCGCATTCGGGCAAGTGTCCATTCGGGGATTTGTCGCATTCGGGCAAGTGTCCATTCGGGGATTTGTCGCATTCGGGCAAGTGTCCATTCGGGGATTTGTCGCATTCGGGCAAGTGTCCATTCGGGCATTTGTCGCATTCCGGCAAGTGTCCATTCGGGCATTTGTCGCATTCGGGCAAGTGTCCATTCGGGCATTTGTCGCATTCGGGCAAGTGTCCATTCGGGCATTTGTCGCATTCCGGCAAGTGTCCATTCGGGCATTTGTCGCATTCGGGCAAGTGTCCATTCGGGCATTTGTCGCATTCCGGCAAGTGTCCATTCGGGCATTTGTCGCATTCGGGCAAGTGTCCATTCGGGCATTTGTCGCATTCGGGCAAGTGTCCATTCGGGCATTTGTCGCATTCCGGCAAGTGTCCATTCGGGCATTTGTCGCATTCGGGCAAGTGTCCATTCGGGCATTTGTCGCATTCGGGCAAGTGTCCATTCGGGCATTTGTCGCATTCCGGCAAGTGTCCATTCCGGCATTTGTCGCATTCGGGCAAGTGTCCATTCGGGCATTTGTCGCATTCGGGCAAGTGTCCATTCGGGCATTTGTCGCATTCCGGCAAGTGTCCATTCGGGCATTTGTCGCATTCGGGCAAGTGTCCATTCGGGCATTTGTCGCATTCGGGCAAGTGTCCATTCTTATTTTCATAATTTCTTCATCGGCGGGTAAGCGGCTCTTGTGTATTTGTATGAGGCAGCAGATTATAAAGGTCCAGACTTTATCAATGGTGGTCTTTGTTGTGAGCTGATTCAACAAATTTCCTCTGTACTAATTGGCAGTTAATTAATGTCAGATACCGCAACACTTCTCTCAGTTAACGAATCTCTGTAATTAACGAATCTCTGTAATTAACGAATCCCGGTAATTAATGAACCCCGGTATTTAATGAATCTCTATAATTAATGAATACATGTAATTAACGAATCTCTGTAATTAACGAATCTCTGTAATTAACGAATCTCGGTAATTTAAAAAATCCCTACAATTAACGAATCTTTGTGATTAATGAATCACTGTATTTAACGAATCCGTATCATTTTAGCTGCTACTAATTTGACTGGAAAAAAAAGTTTGCTGGGCATAGTGCTGACCACACTATCCCTTTCTATGCCGAGGTCAATGAATCAGATGAACTCTACTTCATCTGCCCCATGTGTCTTGGGCACTAACGGGATTAAGAAGAAAAAAGAAGAAGAATTTGACTGATTGCGTTACGTAGTTCTCCTTCATTAATTATTAACCGACTCAGCTACCAGCGTAACAAAAACCGATAGTCATCGTAACAAGTCAGATAAACATACACAACAAACCCGCCGACACACAAACAAACAAACAAACAAACAACCCGCGTCTCTGCTCTTGTGTGACACATTCTTCGAATTTTTTTTAAAAATTCCTGAATGTTAATGAAGTTTCAAATGAAATAACATTTGAATTCACGGCAAAAAAAAAAAAAAAAAAAAAAAAAAAAAAAAAAAAAATCTACTCCTTGAGTTGAGTGGCGAGTCAACTAGAGACAATGACACTGCTTACACCCCCCCCCCCTACATTAAATCTCGACTACCCCTCCCCCTTCTACCGCTTGACAGAAATAAACGACATGTCACTTTATGTGACGTGCAGCTGCGCAGTGACCCAGTTCTATGCTTGCTGGGTGACCGGAGATCTAGAACATTCGGACACGCTTGTTAGAACAATTAAACATTTTTTTGTTTAAATATCATTTGAACCTGCTGAGAGGCTAATTAGACATTTGCTCAGATAAAACTCTAAATCTACATTTTTAAAATTAGAATATTACGTCATCCGCTATAACAGTATAATCTACCGGCGAATAACTCTCAAAATAGAAACTTCACTTCAAAACAATCGCAATTTATATTTTAGGCTTATTTTATATTCGTTTTAAAGAAGTTAATGACCAACTTAGCATAACGTGACGACGTGGTAGTGTAGCGTTAAAATAACATGTACATTGTTTCTTCCAGACTTTTTTTCTCGGGGGGGGGGGGGGCACTTGATATTTTCGGAGGGGCAGAAAAATTCTCCAGGGGTAAGGGCGGACACTGGTTACTGGTTAAAGTATAAGTTTTCTATATAAATTTCATTTCGTTTGGGGGGGGGGGGGGGTAGATTTCTTCGAGGAGGGGGGGGGGAGGGCCAAGAGATGCCTGGAAGAAACTCTGCACACGTGGCAACATCGAAAGGTATAAAAAGCCACTAGGAAAAAACCAAATCCCGGTTAACGAACACTCCGTCAACGAAAACGTGTTTGAACTGTGTGGCCTTCTGAAACCCGACATCGTTGAGCTGCCCTTTGGCTGTCTCTATAGGGCTTGTAAGTCTACGGTCTCGAAATCTACTAGCTGGCAAGTAAGAGAACGAGAAGTTTACCTACTTACAAACCCGAAAGGGACATCCATGTATGACGTCTTCACTGAAGGGGGATAGGGGGGAAAACTGGACTAGAAGGGGCGGGGGTCAATTTTTTTAAGTAATGTACAATGATGGGACGGAGTGGCCTAGAGGTAGAGATCTAGACAGCTAACCTGTAAGTCTCGAGTTCGAATCCGGGTTCAAGTCAGTAGAACGACCCAGCCCTGATGGGGGCGTTAGGGAAAGTAAAGACGGCTTGGCCAATTGCTGACCACAATATCCCTCGAGGTCACAGAAACAGGTGAATTCTACTTCATCTGCCCCATAGACCGTCAGGTTTGGAAAGGGAACTATTTTTTACCTATGCACTGGCTAATCAGGAAAGACATGTCGATTAGCTTGGACTAATTAATATTTTAATTAATAAAATGATTTTATGATGATCTAAACTTTGTTCTGTACGAGCCGGCTATTCGAACAGTTTGTTGAACCGTGGCTGTTGTAGGCACATTATATCGGTTTAAATATTATTGTTGTCGGCGTAGGTTTTGGCCTCACCACGCCACATCCATCCACGTTAGCTGCGTCATGACTCTTAGCTGTTTGCATGTTATGTGATGTAACTGGATAGCTTTGTTATGAAAAAATCTTAATTCAATATCAATGAAGACATTGATCCTTTATGTGGTCAAAGGCTAATCAGGGTCCAAGTCAGTAGAACACCCAGCTCTGATGGGTTCCTAACTCACGTTAGAGAAAGTAAAGGCAGCTGGGCAAAGTGCTGACCACATTACCCCTTCCCTGAGGTCAAGAAAAATATGAACTCTACCTGTCCAAAAGATCGCTAGGTCTAAAGAGGGTTCTTTACTTTTTTTTATGATAAAAGGCGATAAATGTTCTATGTGTTATCACCATCTACCAACAGTCCCTGATTCTAAATGCAACTCAATGTTTCTAACATATGTTAGGTACTCATTAGTGCTGGATGGGCTCCGGGACTAAATGCTGAATCAGAAGGAAAATAATCAATTTCTTTTTAAATTTCAAAATAATCGATCACCGTAATTAAGCTAATTAGTATTTTTTTTTACATTTCAGCAGGAATTCGACCAATCAACCATCACTTGAGATGTAATCACCGAATCAACTTTCCAGCTCAGATCACGTGTTACTATTTAAAATCTCGTGTTACTCCTCTCCCCCTATACCCAAAATGTTTCCCACAAGCGCTTTGTTGTCCTTCATCGTGTGGACTCTCCTACCCTCATCATCCGCCAACACAACACTTCACAGCGACACCAAGCAGGTTCTGACCGCTCAGACTGTGGCCACTTTAGCCAGCGGGTCCTCCACCAACCAGACCTCGACCAGCCCCACCCCCACCTCCCCCGCCTGGAACACCTCCCTGCTGTGCAAGCATCTGGCCAACATCACCGCCTCCCAGAAGAGCCCCCCGCCCCCCACGGAGGAGTCCATCGAGGCTAAGTGTTTTCCTGGTTTTGTCTGCGTCAACGGCATTTGTACAGGGGGTAAGTGACCCATTCGACGGTCTATGTGACTTAATTCGTCCAGTCTGTAAGTGACCTATTCGTCCAGTCTGTAGGTGACCCATTGTCCAGTCTGTAAGTGACACATTCGTCCAGTTTGTAAGTGACCTATTCTTCCAGTTTGTAAGTGACCTATTCGTCCAGTCTGTAAGTGACACATTCGTCCAGTTTGTAAGTGACCCATTCATCCAGTCTGTAAGTGACCCGTTCGTCCAGTCTGTAAATGCCCAATTCGTCCATTCTTTAAGTGACCCATTTATCCAGTTTGTAAGTGACCCATTCGTCCAGTCTGTAAGTGACACATTCGTCCAGTTTGTAAGTGACCTATTCGTCCAGTCTGTAAGTGACCTATTCGTCCAGTCTGTAAGTGACCTATTCGTCCAGTCTGTAAGTGACACATTCGTCCAGTTTGTAAGTGACCCATTCGTCCAGTTTGTAAGTGACCCATTCGTCCAGTTTGTAAGTGACCCTTTTGTCCAGTCTGTAAGTGACCAATTCATCACATTTGTAAGTGACCCATTCGAATGATTGTGAGACGGCGCGGCCTAGCTCTAGCGCGCTCGAAAGTCTCGAGTTCAAACACGGGTTCAAATCAGTAAATCGTACTTGAGTCCACCCAGCTCTAATGGGAATCTAACTCACGTTAGAGAAAGTAAAGGCGGCTGGGCGTAAGGCTGACCACACTATCCCTTCATATGCCGAAAAAAAATCTCGAATTTGACCCCCGGGCGGATGAGGCTCGATAGCTTGGGACAGCAACCAAGCTACGAAAGAAAACTCAAATATTAAAACAACGTTTGTCTCTAATTTATTCTTGGACGGACAAAGGCAACGGAAGCTAAGCCAGAAGATAAAGCAGGCTGAAGTCAGGGTCAACGGGCCCTATGACGCATACCATGTTGACACGTCCATGTTGACACGTCATACTTAATTATGTTGGAGGAAATCCCGTCTCACAACGATTAAGGGGGGGGGGGGGGGGGGGGGAGAATGAGAAATGCAGCTTTTCCTGTTAGATTAATAGCTTTTTAAAATTATATACATTATTACACACAAAGGGACACCATCCGGTATTTTTTTTTTAAAATGACATCAAATTGCCTGTAGTTTTGATATATCATACATATAATCGTTGACGAAGGGGGGTGTCACCCTGGGTTACCCCACCCACCTGGTGGCACACGACCTAGCGACGCCATTTCTATAGGTGACCAAATCTATGACACATGAAAAGATATCATTAGGTTGTAATGTGTAGTTTATATGAGTGACCCTAACACATTACCATACAGGTTTTTAGTTAGACAATCCTCCCTTTTGTAGCTGATATACACAGCCTGTAAAAAGCCCAAGTTTTGACTGATGTAAATTTTGTTAATGACTTACAAGATTGATTAGCACGTGAATGTCCCACATTACCAATGCACCTGTTGAAAGAGTAACTTAGCCATACAATTCTTAGTGAATTAATTAACGGTTTCTTGTTGATTATCTGTTGATTAGACTTAAACATATCACTCGGACTCAACGAATCATAGCCTTTATCCAAGTGGTAAAAGTAATTGCCACAAGCGATTTCTTCTTTATCTTCATCAACATTTTCCTTGTACGCGCAAGATACATGAGGCAGATAAAGTAGAGTTCATCTGTAAGTACATCGGCATATAAGGAGCTAATCTGGTCAGCACTATGGACAGCCGCCTACGTTTCCCTTACGTAAGATTTGGGTGGACTCAGGGACGTCCTACAGTCACAAGTCCGAACCGAGTTCCGAACTCAATACTTCCGGTTAGCAGCCAAACGCTTTACCTATTGACCACGCCGTCCCATTATCTATTTTTCTAAATCTAAATCTACAACATCCCTTATCCCTTGTGTGTGTCTTTGTGGCACCGCAGTGTGTGTCTAGGGCTAAGTGTCGCATGGAGGCGCCCACCCTTCTCCATGCCTGACCCAGCTGGATGACTCCATATCTTTTTATACTAAATCTATATATAAACTTTATATAAGCCACTATATAAATCTCAATATAACCTTCAATATAAATATAATACAGGACAAAATATCTCACGGACAAATGATCTCAGGACAAATGATCTCATGCGCAAAAGATTTCAGGACAAAATATTTAATGACAAATTGTATCATGGATAAATGATCTAAGAAAAATTATATCAAAGCTAAATATGTATAGTATTTAGGATGATTTTAGTCGATTTTAACATTTTAGCAGAGTTAAGCGAGTAGTACCAGACCATTACCATGTATCTACAAACAATGTATAAAAGATGTTTTTAACACACCCATCTATGTCCGCACGTGCAGGCATGAGCTGCAAGTGTAACGAGGGGTGGGCCGGGCTCTTCTGCCAGGAAAAGTGTCCAGAGAAATGTGCGCCTGACGGCGAATGCGCCACCAGCACCGGAAACCAGGCTATCTGCATCTGCAACGAGACTTCGGTCTACTCACCCGGCGAGGGGTGCGTGCCGCGGGTTGAAGGTGAGTAGGTTTTGTTTATGTGCGGGGTGGGTGTGTGTGGGTATGGGTGTGAGCAGGGGTGGGTGTGCGAGAGCTGACTAAATAAACATTTATTGTTTGAAGTCTTAATTGGTTAGAATTATTTCATCTCAGATGTAATCAAATGACACGTGGTGGATCCACACCTGTATAAATAACACACAGAAAAAAAACATCAGGGGATTTAAGCTTAAAACTATAATTTATGTTTGTATAGGTTATTAAAAACTATATTTCTCATAGAGAAATTTGAATGAAGTTGGTAATTGTACACAGTGGCGTCGCTAGGTCGGGTGCGGTCCGCATCCCCCGTCCTCGCGACGCCACTGATTGTACATGTTGCTCATGGGTTGATTTTATTTATTGTATCTAGGGGGTAATGTGTAAAGTTGGGGCTCGGATGGTGGGGGTGGGGGAGCAAATGAAACTTTCGGTAGGGAAGGGGGGTGGGGCGCACTTAAATTTCCCGGAGGCAAACACTGGTTTAAGTGTATACTTTCCTATATAAATTATAGATGTTTTTTTAATATATCGTCTATCCCCCCTCCCCACCAACACCTGAGAAATGCTTAAATTATACTCAGGGGCTATGGTTATAATACTGTGTTAGGTGTGGTTAATTATAGTAACGTGTTAGTTGTAGCTAATTATAGTAATGTGTTAAGAGTATAACTGTGACATATCCCTGACTACACTAGCCCTTTCGTTTTCTTCAGTTGTTGTTGGGAAGCTGAACGGACTGTAAAACTTAGGTCAGGCCACTACCGCTTTCTCGTGGCCCACTGTGTGCGCTAAACCCCCTAGTGCAATGAAAAGTTCATGACAGGTTCATACCTTGACATGTTGAATGTCACAGTAACCCCAGATCACTACCTGCCCCGGAGCTCAGATCTCTGTCAACATGATTTCGACCCTGAACTACCCCCTCACAAATCCTCACCCCCCCCCCCCTCCTAAACACACGACTGACCTAAAATGTCTGTTGTACTGATGTTGTTCTAAACCTTCCCATCTGTCCATCTGAGTTCATGTCCCTCCCCCTAACCTCCCCACCCCTCAAACACGTCTTACCTAAAATGACTAACATAAGTTGTACAGATACCTGCCTTTGACCTTCAGAAACATACACAACGACCATGGGTTCATTCCCCTTATACCAAAAGTGACTCAAATCTTTTTTTTTCTACTTGACCTTCAGAAACATACTCAAGGCCCAGGGGTTCATCCCCGTCTCCCACCCTTCACCCAAAAACCCACACGCCTTACCTAAAATGACTCAAATATTTACTTTAATGAAGCCTGCCTTGACCTTCAAAACCAGATAATCCCCCGAATAATCCGCACACTACAGCGTCTCAAGTTTTGGTTTTACTGATGTCTGACCTTGACCTTCAGAGCCAGATAATCCTCCAAATAATCCACACACTAAAATGTTACAAAATTTTGGTTTTACTGATGTCTGCCGTGTTACTTCCAGGCATCTCTTCAGCCACCCCCCCTCCCCGGAAAATATATACTTTTAACAGTGTCTGCCCCCTCCTCCCCCCCCCACCGAAAATTTCAAGTGCCCCCACCCCCCCCCCCCACCCCAAAAAAAAAGTCTGGAAGAAACACAGGATGCCTTGACTTTCAGAACCATAGACAAAGACCACACGTTTCCCCCTCTCCCCTACCCTCCCCCCAAATAACCAGCACACCTTACCTAAAATGACTCCAACATTTGTTGTGCTAATGCCTGCCTTTGGCCATTAGAACCATAATACAAGGACCACACGTTCATTTCCCTCAACCACGCCCTTAACCCCTCCCCCCCCCCCCCAAAAAAAAAAAAATAACCCGCACACCTAACCCTAAAATGATATACTCTGTACTGATGCTTGTCCTTGATCTTCAGAGCCGTCCACCACGACCGTGCCCACGACGACAGAAGGCAACCTGCGGCCCAGGTCGGAGCGGCTCTGTTTCGGCGCCAGCCTGTGCGTGCACGGCTACTGTGACCTGTCGTCCCTGCAATGCCTGTGTGACAGGGGCTGGAAGGGTCAGCTGTGTAACGAGAAGTGCGACCTCAACTGCGGCAAGAACGGGAGGTAATCCTTGATTTATTTAAAGAGAATATAATTTTGCGCATAAGATGGAGTACCTTCCCTTGACACGGTTTGACCTCAATACGGGAGATAATTCTTGTTTTTTTTTTTTAATGTAGCTTTGCATTTCATAGAGTGCCTTCCCTTGAATATCTGTCCTGTTTTAGTTTGGATAATTTTTCTTAGCGGCTAATCTCTGCTCATTTTGTTTATAATTTAACCGTTAATCGATTTAATTTACGTTTGCTAACCTTACCACAACCATGAAAAGGGATGTAATGATGCCAGGAAGGGTCCACTGGTTAAAAATTATATTTAGCAACTGTCTCTATAACACCACGATGACTGCTTATATCTCGCAGTAGTTGTTTAGTAATTTAGCCGCAACCTGATTAGTGACTTTCCTTTAGCACTTACTTCCCTTTGATAAATTAGGAAAACACAATTACTTCCCTTTATAAAACATTGCATTAGTGGAAAAGAATTTACTTTTTTTATTACTTTGTTTTGGTGTTGGGAAAATTTTTTACATAATTAGCGGGGATTGATAAAGTGCAAATGTTGTAGGTATTTTACGAATAAGCTTGGAGTATTATAATTGTTCATTTGGTTTGGTTTGGCACCTACGTTCGTTTAAGTGAGTGCAAAAAGACTATGAATAAGTTGGGGTACTATAGTCGATTATTGAGCTGAAACAGGCGATTCTGCCCCGGGCTAGACTGTGAGCACTTTGCGTTTATTTTCGCGTTAGTGTTTTCTTTGTGTTTAGGTTGGGTTTGCATTAGTGGTTGCGTTTTGATTTGGTTCGTTTTTGTTCTTTCTTTTTTCGTTTTTATTTGTGTTTTTTTCTTTGGGTTTGTGTTTGTATTTGTGGTTGTGGTTGGTTTTGCGTTTGGGTTTGGTTTGTTTTCGTTTGCTTTTTCGTTTGTGTATTTTTCTTTGGGTTTGTGATTTTGGTTGGTTTTGCGTTTGGATTTGGTTTGTTTTCGTTTGCTTTTTCGTTTGTTTTTTCTTTCTGTTCGTATTGGTGTTTGTGGTTGTGGTTGGGTTTGTTGTTAGGTTTTTGTTTTTGTTTGCTTTTTTGTTTGTTTTTTCTTTGTGTTTGTATTGGTGTTTGTGATTGTGGTAGGGTTTGTTGTTAGGTTTTTGTTTTCGTTCGTATTTGTAATTGTGTTAGCGTTATGTTTGCGTTTTGTTGTTTTGGTTGGTTGTGGTTTGGGTGGGCAATGCCGGGTTTATGATGATTACTAAACACACAAGTAATGGTCTTTAACAGAAAGGTTTTTCACAGAAGCCAGAGCAGGGCCTGGCCGGGACGGCTAGTTATAGTTTAAAGTAGAGATTTTTTTAAAATCTAACTATTAGGAATTAAATTAGAGTTAGAGCTTATGGCTAATATTAGGCTTAGACCTTACAGCTTATATTTGACTTAGAGCTTGCGGCTTATATTTGGCGTAGACCTTATGGCTTAAAATATTTGACTTAGACCTTACGGCTTATATTTGACTTAGACCTTACGGCTTATATTTGGCGTAGACCTTACGGCTTATATTTGGCTTAGACCTTACGACTTATATTTGACTTAGACCTTACGGCTTATATTTGACTTAGACCTTACGGCTTATATTTGACTTAGATCTTACGGCTTGTATTTGACTTATACCTTACGGCCAGTGTTTCTTCCAGACATTTTCTCCGGGGGGCGCGGGGGGGGGGGGGTGATATTTTCGGGTGGGGGGGGGGGGGGCGGTCAACATTTTTTGGAAGAGATACCTGGAAGAAACTCTGCTTACGGCTTATATTTGGTGTAGACCTTACGGCTTATATTTGACTTAGACCTTGCGGCTTATATTTGACTTAGACCTTACGGCTTATATTTGACTTAGACCTTACGGCTTATATTTGACTTAGACCTTACGGCTAATATTTGACTTAGACCTTACGGCTTATATTTGACTTAGACCTTACGGCTTATTATTGACTTAGACCTTACGGCTAATATTTGACTTAGACCTTACGGCTTATATTTGACTTAGACCTTACGGCTTATATTTGACTTAGACCTTACGGCTTATATTAGACTTAGACCTTACGGCTTATAGTTCGCGTTGACCTGACCCAAGTTTCACGAAACTCCCCGTCTCCCCCTCCCCAGGTGCCGAGAGAGCAGCGACTACATCTTCTACTGCGTCTGCGACCCGGGCTACAACGGGTCCCGGTGTGAGAACCTCATCCTCAAGCCGTTCAGCACGACCACCGTCGCCAGCACCGCGGGGTCAGAGGTCAAGGATGCCCAGGCCAACAGCCTGTGGTACCTGGGCGACCATTCCGGCGACGCCCCGACGTCCACCGTCCTGCCGGAAACGACCGGTGAACCGGACAACGGGACCTATTCCTCAACGACCGCCTCTGTGGAGAACGTCACGGGTTTGGTCAACGTCACTGGAAGTGATGTGGCGGTCAACTCGACGACAACAGCATCGATGGTGGAGGTCAATACGACGATGAGACCTTTGGAAGAGCGTCAGTGTGTGCCTGGTATCGTCTGTGAGGTAATGGCGTCACGTTTCTGTTGTTATTTTAATAATTCGCGGTCAAGGCAAGTCGATAGTGTATACATTTGGTTTGTACACGAATGCATATCAGGATCCTGATTATGTATTGGATATGGAGTAGATCTATGAGTTAGGTGCTATAGGTCAAAGTTTAATTTGTGATACTGGCAGAAATAGCCCCCAGTATGTTAAAAGTAAAGCACCCTTTCCGGTCCTTTCACATGTTTCTGTGACCTCGGCATATGAAGAGATAGTGTGGCCAGCACTATGCCCAGCCGCTTTTACTTTCCCTAACGTGAGTTAGCATCCATCAAAACTGGACGCAGGATTTGAACAAGGATTCGAGACTTTCGGGTTAGTAGTCCAGCGCTCTACCACTAGACCACGCCGTACCATTTCCCCCCTCCCCCCAGTATATTGGGTCCAACACTTTCAGTATCAAAATTTGTTTGTTTCGTTCAACAGTTTGACAATTATTATAATCCTTTGGCGCTTCTAAGAAAACTAGGGTTTTTTTCAGTGATGGGGTTTTCGTATTAGACGTTCACTCTATGACTACTAATTGTTTTCTGTTCATAAGTACATTTTGGGAACTATGACGCTTTTTCTTAACAAGACAATATTTTGTAATAATGATGAGAGTAATGACAAGTTATATACTTTTTATTTTGTTTTAAAACATTACAATTCAATATTGATTCGTATAAACACTGTAAACGTATATCATACGGTGTTTATAAATACATAACCTTGAAGTTACATGTCCTCAGCACGGGTACTGCCAGAAAACTGCGCAGCTTGTCGCGTGTGTCTGCGACTCTGGGTACGCCGGCGCCCTGTGTGAGACCCCCTGCCCCCGGGCCTGTGGCGCCAACCAGACCTGCGACATAGCAGGCGACGGGTCTCAGATATGCAGGTGTCGGGACGGGTACAGCGGCGCCAGGTGCAACGTGTACGACCCTCGTGAGTAGTGTGTGAACACTTTCTTTCAGTTCAGTCCATGTCATTACAGACGCCTTCATTTACTTTTCAGCGGATATTCGAAGCGCTGTTTTTTTTTTTTTTTTTTTTTGCATTGCTAGTTTAATTTAGTTCGGTTTGTTAGGATTTAGTCGTGATCAGCAGGGTAAATAGAGGGCCTTAGAAATTATGTGCAGGCTTTAGCCATGTGGGTCATTGGAGAACAAGTCTGCAGTTAAATGTTTAGTGGCTTACTTTAATACCACCAAGTGATTTCTTTCTCTTTCTCACCATGAGAACTTGTTGGTTTTTTAAATATTCATATAGAGATCTAAATATTTCTGTCGATTTGCACCTAAGGTTTTACACAGTATTGTTAAAATAACTACCAGAAATAAATTATCATCTTTTCCAAAAGTGCTCCGGACACATGAGGGTCTCTACAGCCATCTCTTTCCACTTTTGCTAGTCTTAAATGGCAACTTTCTTGGCAGTTCTCCGGGATAATTCTGATTTTGTCGGTTGTTTTTTTTTTAGCTGTGTTCCTTTCCACATCTCTCTTGGACTTCCATGTTTTCATTTTTCTTCATTGAGGCACTCGAAATAAATATATACACAATATTTTGGTTTTGCAAAAAAATAAAGTTTGTCTGATTTTGTTTGCAAAAACGCTATGTATATTTGATCATTGTTATCATAATACACACGTTACTTCACAGCAACAACGACGGCGTCCCTAACAACTGTTACTGACCTGGACCGTATCTCAACGACCCCGGACAACGAGTCAACGACCTTGGTGCGCGTGTCCACGACCCTGGGGGTCCAAGCTATGGACGACCCCTGGGAGCCACTGGCGGGGTTTGGTCCCCTCGTACCGCTGGCACTGCGCATGTGCACGCAAGGGTTTGTCTGTCGCTATGGCAACTGTTCCCGGGCGCTGGACGGGATGCAGTGCGTGTGTGAGCCGTCGTTTAGAGGTAAAGGTCAAGGTTGTGGTGTGGTCAGTGTGGATCTAAAAGTCGCAATGAGCCATTACAGAAAGGGTAGTGGCTATTGATCAGTGTTTCTTTCAGACACTTTTCTTCGGAGAGGTAGAGCACTTGAAACTTTTTGGGCGGGGGGGGAGGGGGGGGGAGGGACTAAATTTTTCGGGGTGGGGGGGGGGACAGGGGTCAAAGTATATATTTCCTATATAAATTATATTTCGTTCGGGGATGGGGGTGAGGGGTGATAGACGTGCTCTCGGGGACGGGGGGGGGGGGGGGTGGGGGGGTGGCAACGAATATATACCAACCAAGAACAAACTGCAAGGTGGCAGTTGTTTGATTTTGGAGGTGTCTCTCCTAGATGAGTTGCTGTGCCCAGCTAATGGGCTTCATCTGCCCGGGGACCGAACTCGAGTTATTGCGGTTGATTTATGGTCTTAGAGTGTTGTTGTCTACCACTTCAGCTATATTTGTGTGGTCATTACAGACTTGTCTAATGACTACCACTGCAGCTATAGTTATATGGTCAGTACAGACTTGTCTAATGACTACCACTGTAGCTATAGTTATATGATCAGTACAGACTTGTCTAATGACTACCACTGTAGCTATAGTTATATGATCAGTACAGACTTGTCTAATGACTACCACTGCAGCTATAGTTATATGATCAGTACAGACTTGTCTAATGACTACCACTGTTGCTATAGTTATATGATCAGTACAGACTTGTCTAATGACTACCACTGTTGCTATAGTTATATGGTCAGTACAGACTTGTCTAATGACTACCACTGTTGCTATAGTTATATGATCAGTACAGACTTGTCTAATGACTACCACTGTTGCTATAGTTATATGATCAGTACAGACTTGTCTAATGACTACCACTGTTGCTATAGTTATATGATCAGTACAGACTTGTCTAATGACTACCACTGTAGCTATTGTTATATGATCAGTACAGACTTGTCTAATGACTACCACTGTAGCTATAGTTATATGATCAGTACAGACTTGTCTAATGACTACCACTGTTGCTATAGTTATATGATCAGTACAGACTTGTCTAATGACTACCACTGTAGCTATTGTTATATGATCAGTACAGACTTGTCTAATGACTACCACTGTAGCTATAGTTATATGATCAGTACAGACTTGTCTAATGACTACCACTGTAGCTATTGTTGTATGATCAGTACAGACTTGTCTAATGACTACCACTGTAGCTATAGTTATATGATCAGTACACTTGTCTAATGGCTACCACTGTAGCTATAGTTATATGATCAGTACAAACTTGTCTAATGACTACCACTGTAGCTATAGTTATATGATCAGTACATACTTGTCTAATGACTACCACTGTTGCTATAGTTATATGATCAGTACAAACTTGTCTAATGTCTACCACTGTTGCTATAGTTATATGATCAGTACAAACTTGTCTAATGACTACCACTGTTGCTATAGTTATATGATCAGTACAAACTTGTCTAATGTCTACCACTGTTGCTATAGTTATATGGTCAGTACAAACTTGTCTAATGGCTACCATTCAAAAATTCCCAGACGTATTCTGCAACGAGCCGTGTACCCTAGACTGTGGACCGAAAGGAATCTGCCAGTTCAGTGATAACAAAACGGAGGTGTGTGAGTGTACAGATAAGCATTACACTGGACCAACCTGCTCAGAGTTAAGGCCCTTGGAGGAAGAAGGTATGTACTCCATACATACAGATACATATTTTTAGATAATATTGTTTTAGAAGAGGGATGTATTCCGTACAGAAAAATAAATGTTTAGATTATATTGTTTTAGAAGGAGGGTGTATTCCGTACAGAAAAATAAATATTTAGATAATATTGTTTTAGAAGGAGGGTGTATTCCGTACAGAAAAATAAATGTTTAGATAATATTGTTTTAGAAGGAGGGTGTATTCCGTACAGAAAAATAAATGTTTAGATAATATTGTTTTAGAAGGAGGGTGTATTCCGTAAAGAAAAATAAATATATTTAGATTCTATTGTTTTAGAAGAAGGCGCTAAGGCCCCTGTTCCTTAAAAAAGAAATGTTTAGAATCTATTGTTTCAGAAGAAGGTGTTTATACCTTACAGAAAAATAAATATGTTTAGATAATATTGTTTTAGAAGAAAAGATGTATAACTTAAAGAAAAATAAATATTTTGTTTAGTTTCTATTGTTTTAGAAGAAAGTATTTAAAGCTTACATAAAATTAAATATTGTATTTAGATTTGTATTGTTAAGCAGAAAAATAAATATTATATTTAGATTCTATTGATTAGCAGCAGGTATTTATTACCTACAGAAATCAAAATATCTTTAGATTCCAATGTTTTAAAAGAAAAGATGTGTAACTTAAAGAAATATAAATATTTTGTTTAGTTTCTATTGTTTTAGATTCAGGTATTTATAACTAACAGACCAATAAGTATGTTTAGATTCTATTGTTTAGTAGAAGGTGTTTATTACGTACAGAAAAATAAATATTATGTTTAGATTCTATGGTTTAGTTGTATCGTTTTACTTTGTAACGAAACGGTATTATTGTTTTCCTTCTGGTTGTAGCCGGCCTGTCACCGTGGCTTGGAGTGGGGATCGCAGCTGTTATTCTTTTGGTCTCGTCCGCGACAATTGTTCTGGCCATCTACCTGATGTGGAAGCAGCAGAACATCACGATCATGAACTTGGTTTACTGGTTGCAGCCGTATGAAGATGATGGTAATGTTTGCTGTGGGTTTTTTTTTCTTATATAGTTTTATCCACAAACAGAAAAGGGCGATAATCTACTCCTTTGATGAATGAGTTCTCGTTATTTTCATGTTAAAATAATTAATGACAAGGATTCTTAAACGATGACACCCGAACATTATGTGGTGAGATTCAGATTTTAGGGGGGGGGGGGAATAATAGGCCCTATCACCCCATCTTCTATACACACAAACATACGCGCACACACACAGACACACGCACACACACACACACCCCTATCTCACACACACACACACACGTACTCTACAAATGCAACGACTTTCTACTTTGGAGTCTTTAAACAGCTTCCCTACATCATCATATTTTTTTCCGGTTAGTGCCGAAGACACACGGAGAAGATGAGGTAGAGTTTCAACGACCCTCGGCATATGAAGGGACAGTGTGGTCAGCACTATGCCCAGCCATCTTTGTATCCATAACGTGAGTCGGGTACTCACCAGAGCTGGGTAGACTCAGGGACGTCATACAGACTCGAGCCCTGGAGCCGAACTCGAGACTTTCGGGCTAAAATTCCTACATCTGACCCCCCCCCCCCCCCCACCCCTTACTCCCATAATACTAGTTTGAAGAACCCCTCCGTATTGTAGAATAAAACATCTCCTTCCTTTTTCTTTAACCGTTCTAAATCTAAGACATTACCCCCCCCCCCGAGTCTACACCCCTGTCATTTACCCCAACTGTCAATTACCCACATTGCCCTAACCTTAGCTATATAACCCAACCCCTAACTTATCACTACATGGGTGGGGGAGGGGGTGGTAATTGACGGGGCGGGGGGTAATGCCTGCACCCAATCGTTCCACCTCCGCACGGTATCCCACTTAACACTATATCTCCTCTTCTTTCCCCCCCCCACCCCTCTCCCCTCCAGACGGAAGAGACTACGACGCCTTCGTGTCCTACGCCTCTGCTGACCAGGATCGCCAGTTTGTCATACAGACCCTGGTGCCACGACTGGAAGGCCGAATGTGCTACACGCTGTGTATTCACCAGAGGAACTTTATCCCAGGCTTGTGTGAGTCACAATACATGGACACAATCATTGACATAAACATAGATATAGACATACGCAGAGGAACTTTATTCCAGGCTTGTGTGAGTCATAATACATGGACACAATCATAGACATAAACTTGGACACAATCATAGACATAAACATAGACATAGACATACGCAGAGGAACTTTATCCCAGGCTTGTGTGAGTCATAATACATGGACACAATCATAGTCATAAACTTGGACACAATCATAGACATCAACTTGGACAAAAAACATAGACATAGATATACACAGAGGAACTTTATCCCAGGCTTGTGTGAGTCACAATACATGGACATAAACTTGGACATAAACATAGACACAGACATATGCAGAGGAACTTTATACCCAGTCACAATACATGGACACAAACATATAAATAAACATAGACAAACACATTGATTCACATAAATATACTTAGAGGAACGGCACAACAGCTTTATTTGGACAAAAACATAGTTCTAAGCTAAGACATCATCATCTTTTTATTTTTGTGCCCAAGACACCTGCGCCCGCCACAGAAAGCTCCCTCCACTTTTGTCGGTTACCGGCAATTTTCTTGGCTGTTCCTCATGACAGTCCTGCCTCTGCCAGCTGCTTCCCCGCTGTGTGCCTCCACATCTCCCTTGACCTTCCTTGTTTTATTTTTCCCCGAGGCGTCTAGTTTAGAGCTATTCCTGCGATGTCTTCTGGTTTCATTCTTAGGACGTGCTCCATCCATCTTCTTTTTTTCAATTAATTTGGGAACTGCTTTAATTTTCATCTCTCCAAGCAATTTAAAGCTAAGACATAAACACGGACAAAGACAGGGATTTGAAGTCGGACTTGGACATTGACATAAACTTAGACAAAACATGGACACACGTAAACATATCTTGGTGACAATACTGGATGTGCTACATACTACACACTGTGTATTGACCACAACAGCCGTGCGTGAGTCTGCACACACCTTGACGTCACCACCATGGGGTGGGGGGTCACTCAAGGACGCCTAAACACAAACATAAAGACCGACGGAACACAGTCACAAATACACGCGAAATTTTAATGTGATTTGATATGAAACTCATCTGGGGGTTTTCAGACAGTTGGGGTGAAGGGAGTTTGTGTGTGTGGAGGGGGGGGGGGGTATGTCAAATGGAGTGGCGATGAGAATTTTTTCTTGTCGTTTTAACATGTACTACTCATTATTAATTAAGTTTAATTTAGGTTGATTAGCCTAACATAGGCCGCTGATAAGAGCTTTTTAGACATCTCTCTTCTGGGCTAGTCTCTCCAACTGTCCCCCCAGGTGTATCCAATCTTCTTGGTGCCTTCTTCCAGGTCACGTCTCCAGGTCTATCTTTATCGACCTCTTTCACTCATTATTAATACGTTCTATAAAGCGCCTGATATTCTGACGAAGACCTCATATCAAACATCATTTATTGCGTATTAGGAGGACTTTAGCTGCGGCCCTACATTGTTTTGAATACCCTCAACACGAGCGTAACATCCGTTATTTACCCTTCAGATATCACGGACAATATAACCGGATCCGTGAAAAGAAGCCGGCGGACCATCTTGATCCTGAGTCCGGCATTTGTGGCCAGCGGTTGGTGCAAGTTCGAATACCAGATGGCGCTACAGGAGATGCTGTGTGAGAAGCACCGGATCCTACCCATAATCCTAGGTAAGGTGGCTTCACATCCTACCCATAATCCTCGGTAAGGTGGCTTCACATCCTACCCATAATCCTCGGTAAGGTGGCTTCACATCCTACCCATAATCCTCGGTAAGGTGGCTTCACATCCTACCCATAATCCTAGGTAAGGTAGCTCTACATCCTGCTCTTAGCTAGATAACAGCCTACCCATAATCCTAGGTAAGGCAGCTTCACATCCTACCCATAATCCTCGGTAAGGCAACTTCACATCCTACCCATAATCCTCGGTAAGGTGGCTTCACATCCTACCCATAATCCTCGGTAAGGCAACTTCACATCCTACCCATAATCCTCGGTAAGGTGGCTTCACATCCTGGTTTTAGCTTGGTACAACCTACCCATAATCCTCGGTAATCTAGCCATAATCATAGGTAAGGTAGTTTTACATCCTGCTTGCAGTTTAGTACAGCCTACCCATAATCCTAGGTAAGGTAGTTTTACATCCTGCTTGCAGTTTAGTACAGCCTACCCATAATCCTAGGTAAGGTAGTTTTACATCCTGCTTGCAGTTTTACATCCTGCTTGCAGTTTAGTACAGCCTACCCATAATCCTAGGTAAGGTAGTTTTACCTCCTGCTTGCAGTTTACTACAACCTACCCATAATCCTAGGTAAGGTAGTTTTACATCCTGCTTGCAGTTTAGTACAGCCTACCCATAATCCTAGGTATGGTAGTTTTACATCCTGCTTGCAGTTTAGTACAGCCTACCCATAATCCTAGGTAAGGTAGTTTTACATCCTGCTTGCAGTTTACTATAATCTACCCATAATCCTCGTTAAGGTAGCTTCACATCTTGCTCTTAGTTTACTACAACCTACCCATAATCCTCGGTAAGGTAGCTTCACATCTTGCTCTTAGTTTACTACAGCCTACCCATAATCCTGGGTAAGGTAGCTTCACATCCTGCTCTTAGTTTACTACAACCTACCCATAATCCTCGGTAAGGTAGCTTCACATCCTACCCATAATCCTCGGAATGGCAGCGTCACATCCTACCCATAATCCTAGGTAAGCCAGCTTCACATCATACCCATAATCCTAGGTAAGGCAGCTTCACATCCTACCCATAATCCTCGGTAAGGTGGCTTTACATCCTACCCATAATCCTCGGTAAGGCAGCTTCACAACCTACCCATAATCCTCGGTAAGGTAGCTTCACACCCTACTCTTAGTTTGGTACATCCTACCCATAGTCCTCAGTAAGGTGGCTTCACATCCTACTCTTAGTTTGGTACATCCTACCTATAATCCTCGGTAAGGTGGCTTCACATCCTGCTCTTAGGGTGAAGAGCTCCTAGATCTAGTATATTTAATTTCTTATAAAGTACGTAACTAGCGTTATTAATATTACTTAGTGTATTTATTGTCAGCTATAAAGTAACTATGTAAATTTCATAACATATTTATTGTTTTTTAAAGTACGAAACTAGCTTTATTACATAGCATATTCTTTGTCTGTTATAGAGTAACTAGCATAATTTCATACCACATCTATTGTCAGTTACAAAGTAACTAGCTTCATGCCATCGGACCTTTATGAAGTAAATTAGAATGCAATTTTTACAGGCCAATTTTTTTAGTATCAGCATAAAGCTCATAAATATTCTATGCTAATGCACGTATAACGTGTTGTAAAGATATCACCAGTAAAAATACCTGAATAATCAGAGGTTATTTCAGGCATATCTTTGTCCACGCCCCTTCTCCCGGGCAAAATAGAACAAATATATAATTTATATAGAAAATATATACTTTAACCAGTCTCCGCCCCTCCTTCCGGAAATTTAAGTACGCTCTCCCAATAATTTCAAGTGCCCTGAGACCCCCCCCCCCCCCCAACCACCTGGAGAAAAATGTATGAAAGAAACACAGGTAACTATGTTTTTAAAATGTCCCAAATGTATACATCAGGCGACATCAGCCACCTCAAGCAAGACATGGACGACACCCTGAAGACCATCTTAAAGACAGTCACGTGGCTGGAGTACCCTGGGAAGGATTCCTCAGACGAGGTCAGTGCGCATGACATCACGGATGTTGAGGAGTTGACACGTGTGCTAAATTTATTTGAAGATCAAAACTTTCTGTTTAGACAAACTTATCAACACGGTTCTCGTTTCTTGTTTTAACTTAGGTCTATATCAGTTTGGAATTCAGAGCTAAAGTGAGGGTGTGTTATTTTTATATTACTCTGAAGTAAAAGTTTGTAAAACTTACTTTTTAAAATTATTTAAAATGTAATCAGGGTAGATCGCAAATTTCAACACACTTGCTAGACACTATACACCTTTAGTGTAGGGTTTAGGTATAGAAGCGGTTTGGTGGCTAGTTTTAGGTTTATTAAGATGTGGTTAGTTTTAGGTTTGGATGTGGTTAGTTTTAGGTTTGGATGTGGTTAGTTTTAGGTTTATTAAGATATTGTTAGTTTAAGGTTTGGCTTGTGTTAGTTTTAGGGTTATTAAGATGTGGTTAGTTTAAGGTTTGGATGGTGTTAGTTTTAGGTTTGGATGGTGTTAGTTTTAGGTTTGGGTAGTGTTAGTTTTAGGTTTGGATGGTGCTAGTTTTAGGTTCAGTATGATATGGTGTGTATTTCACAATCACACGATTTTATCACACTATAATGCGCCACAGTATTAATATGGCTTTCCAAACTTTGTCTTAAATTTTATACACTGAAAGCAGTCTAGACTGTACTGATTGAATTGACATGGGCAAGATAACCTCAGTTGAAAAAACAGGTCTTTTTGTAGTTAGCATTGTTTATTTTAACTTTCTCAAACTGAAAAAAAAACACTCTTAGAACAATAGCTTTTGTCAAAATATCACATTTAGTGCCTTGTCTTTGAAATATTTACTGACTTTCTTGTCTCCGATTCACAGGAAATGGAAAAGTTCTGGAAACGTTTGGCACTGTCTTTACCCAAAAGACGACCTGGCCAGATGGAGTCAATGGCCAGTCAATCTTGTCTTACCTCCCCTTCCACGCAAACCAAGCACGAAGACATCGTAAGCGACGCGCTCAAAGCCCCGCTTGAAATCAGATCCTTCCACCACAGCCACCCTAAAGGTCCCCCGCTCAAACAAATAGTCCGGGTCCCGGCGGTCGACCTCGACACTGAATCCTCATCAAGCCAAGCCCCCATTTTTTGTTTACAACTCAACCGTCTGCTGAACGGGTCGAGTGAGAGCGACTCTAAACCTTCTAGCCTGTCGCCGTTAGACCCGTACTACGTCAGCCCACGTGATCAGCATCCGCCAGACTACCCGCAGGACGACGCGGGAAGTTTAACGAAGCTCGCGCAGAGTCAGCAGACGTCGCCCAGTACAACGGTGGATCTGTCGGATAAACTGGCGTCATGGCCGGAGCCTAAAGCAGGCCAGAACGGCGAATCAATCCTGGACAAATACCTGGGGGATGGAGATCTTGCGAGACAACTAGCCGTGTGACAAAAACTCGCAGCGGGATAAACAAAAGTTCACCGGAAACTTTAAAAACAAACACTCGAGTTTTTTGGATTGGCCAAAGAGATATAAGGTTGTTTTGCTTCTGTCTCCTGCTAGATCACATGTGTTCTTCACGTGATGAAAGGCAAATGAACATGAACGCCTCAACCGACTTTTTGTTTTTCCGTAGAAGAATCAGAGAGAGGGGAAAGGAAAGCAAGCACGTTTTTTCCAAGTGGAGAGAATTTTACAGGCGTATATATATATATATATATATATATATATATATATATATATATATATATATATATATATATATAGTAATTAATTTATATACAAATAGGCCCATTAAGATTATATATATTTTTTGTACATTTTTCTCATAAGTTTTCATGTAGGGGTAAGATAACTACCCCAGGCCCAACTTATGGAGTCAAAAACATGAAATACCAAAATAGAGGTCTGACCGAATATATGAGATTGTTTTTTTTTAAATAACTACATTTTAGACGTTTAATGCATTTTTGAAGTAATAGGTTTTAATTTAAAAAGTTTAAAACCCCATGTCTGTATAACCCACATAGAATAACGCGTTTCAATACTACTGTTTTCTTTTTCTTCTTAGTCCTTAATTGTAATGTTGGAATAGATTTCCTCCAACACATTGAAGTACTACGTGTCAACTTGTTATGCAACATATAGGCGGTTGGCTCAAATTTCAGTCTTCTTTTCTTTTGGATTTGCTTCCATAGCCTTTGTCCAATCAAGAACAAACTACAAGGCAGCAGTTTTGATTTTGGAGTTTTCTATCTTTTAACAGTGCTATTTCGGCAAAGAAACTCCTATTCCGCTAAGAAAAAAAGTCTTATAAACGAATCGCCATGTTTATGTCAACTGTGGAACTGATATAAAGAACCAGTCCAGCCAAATCTGGCCCAATGTCGTGAATGATTCGTGTAGTTTTTGTAATATTTGATATATGTACTTTTTAAAAATGTAGATCGATGTACTTTCTTTTTTAAAAATTAGATCTGTGTACTTTTTAAAAATTCAGATCTATACTTTTTCAAAATTTAGATCTATGCTTTTTCAAAATTCAGATCTATGTACTTTTTTCAAAATTTTGATCTATGTACTTTTTCAAAATGTAGATTTATGTACTTTTAAAAAAAAATGTATGTTAATCTCATTTCAGCCCAATACATTTCCACAGCAAACAACTAGATCAGCATACACATAACGAATACAACACACTAAAACTCAATTTAAACATCAAAAACCTAACACACATACATTTAGAAATAAACAAAAAGACAACAAAAAAATATATGAGACATATGTAAAGGAACTAATGTTGTATTGTTTAAAATGATTTATAATTATATTATTAAAAATGTCGTAGTATATTAGAGTTTTTTTCTTGCTTTTTTTTGTCCCCACATAGACATCATACGAAATTCAACGTTTGGGTTGTGTGGGATACTGGGCTTTTGACCTATGACCTTTGACCGAGGAACACACTAGGGTCTTACAGTGAGCTGATATCATATTATCGAGGGGCGTGAGTTGGTGGGGGGGGGGGGGGGATCTTACAGTGACTTTATGACCTATGACTGAGGGACATATATGAGTCTTCCAATGTGTCTATGACATGACGTATGACTAAGGGTCTTACAGGGGTCTGAAAATTAAACTATAACCTATGAACCTATGACCAAGGGTCGATGAGGGGTCTTCCAATAAGCCTATTACCTATAACTGAGGGACGTCTTACGAGGAACGATTGACTTCTATTAGAGACCTAGGGGAATCCTACGATGAAATGATGACCTATGATTAAGGGACGTACGTTTGTCTCACAATGACTAATGACCTATTGCCCGATGACCGAGTGACGTAGAGGGGTCTAACAATAAACCTATGACTATGACCTGTGACAAAGACCTGGAGAAGTCCTACTATGAAATGATGACCTATGACTAAGTGACGAACATTGGTCTCACAATGACCTATCGATCAATGACCTATGACCGAAGTACGTCTTACGATGAACCAATGACCTGTAACAGAGACCTGAACGGGTCCTATTATGAAATGATGACCTATGACTAAGGGACGTACATTGGTCACACAATGACCTGTCGACCGATGACCTATGACCTCGGGACGTAGAGAGCATCAGACTCCACCTCCGTGCACATGTGCATGTCCTCGTAGATGCCACACTTCCATATGTCCGTGGTGAACTTGGTGTTGCGGGGGAACCGTTTCTTGTTCAGGCCCGGGGGTGCGGCCAGACGCCCGTAGACAGCATTGGATGTCTGGTACAGGGGATGTTGGTGGGGTCGGCCATAACCCTGGGGGGGGGGGGGAGAAAAGTTCGGATTACCAAGTCAGTTTTGGTAATATTTAAATGAAAAAAAAATTGATAGGTTTAAAATATAATATGTAAATTGTATTGATCACTACCATATAATGGGGTGGTCGGTTAGTAGAGCGTACGACTGTGTACAGGGATCGAATTTATAGGGAGTCTCAGAGTCTATTTAGATTTGGTGTACCAGACGTATATCAGATGGCTGGACATAGTGCTGACCACACGATCCCTTCGTATTACTATTTCACAAACTGAATATACTGGTGAGGTGCCTCGGTGCCATAGATGGGGTCTATAGCACTGTTTATGACAGTCATCTTAATGATGATGATGATGATGGTGGTGATGATGATGATGATGATGATGATAATGATGATGGTGGTGGTGGTGGTGATGATGATGGTGGTGGTGGTGGTGGTGGCGATGATGATGAGATGGTAGTGGTGGAGGTGATGGTGGTGATGATAGAGATGGTAGTGGTGGTGGTGATGGTGGTGATGATGGTGATGGTGGTGATGATGGTTATAATGATGATGTTAGTGGTAGTGGTGGTGATGATGGTGATGATGGTAGTGGTGGTGATGATGATGGTGGTGATGATGATGATTCCGATTTCAACATACTCCTGGGTTATCTTAAACTGTCTGTACGATAACTTTAGCCCTCACAGCAATGGTGGTTGAGACACACTGGCGTACCAATTTAGCAGAAACCCATATTCGGCCATAACCCTGGGGGGGGGGGGGGGGGGGGGAGAAAAGTTCGGATTACCAAGTCAGTTTTGGTAATATTTAAATGAAAAAAAAAATTGATAGGTTTAAAATATAATATGTAAATTGTATTGATCACTACCATATAATGGGGTGGTCGGTTAGTAGAGCGTACGACTGTGTACAGGGATCGAATTTATAGGGAGTCTCAGAGTCTATTTAGATTTGGTGTACCAGACGTATATCAGATGGCTGGACATAGTGCTGACCACACGATCCCTTCGTATTACTATTTCACAAACTGAATATACTGGTGAGGTGCCTCGGTGCCATAGATGGGGTCTATAGCACTGTTTATGACAGTCATCTTAATGATGATGATGATGATGGTGGTGATGATGATGATGATGATGATGATAATGATGATGGTGGTGGTGGTGGTGATGATGATGGTGGTGGTGGTGGTGGTGGCGATGATGATGAGATGGTAGTGGTGGAGGTGATGGTGGTGATGATAGAGATGGTAGTGGTGGTGGTGATGGTGGTGATGATGGTGATGGTGGTGATGATGGTTATAATGATGATGTTAGTGGTAGTGGTGGTGATGATGGTGATGATGGTAGTGGTGGTGATGATGATGGTGGTGATGATGATGATTCCGATTTCAACATACTCCTGGGTTATCTTAAACTGTCTGTACGATAACTTTAGCCCTCACAGCAATGGTGGTTGAGACACACTGGCGTACCAGTTTAGCAGAAACCCATATTCGGCCAACCCGTATTCGACCAACCCATATTCCGCCAACCCATATTCGGTCAACCCGTATTCGGCCAACCCATATTCGGCCAACCCATATTCGGCCAACCCATATTCGGCCAACCCATATTCGGCCAACCCATATATGGCCAAAACAATAGCCACCGGTCTCACCTTTAGACCCAGCGTGTAGCAGTCTGGTCTAGAAGCTTCCGCGGCGTCGGGGTGAGAAATCAGCAGACGTTTGGCAGGCTCCAGTTTGTGGCCACACCCAGGGCCCATCCTGTTGGGGAGGGGGGGGGGGGGGGGCGGGAGGGAACAGTGACTAGTTAAGACGCAATTTGGTTGCTAGCATTATACACATACACATTTATTTCTGTCACTGAGATTGACTTTCATGCCCTCTGAGTCGTTTGTTTACAACACGTAGTTAAGTGAAGACACAAAAACAGACCTATAGGCAGACTTCCGTACAATTACAGACTGTGCAATACACAGATAAGCACAAAGATTATAACATAAATTAGGATGAATACAAACATTGTGAAAGGAATTCCATAAAACAGATACAGACGTTAAGACAGATATTATGGCAGATATGTATTGTGCTGATAACATTTAACAGGATGTTTGGGGGGGGGGAGGTAAAAACTTATTTAGACAGATGTTAATGACGTTTTAATGGTAAATTGTTGAGAAAACTGATTAGTAAATATAATAAAAATAACAAGAGTAATACGTAAAATTTGCATTTAAAGGGAAACTACTCTAAAAAAATAATTTCTTGTGAATCAACCTAGACTCCGTCCCCTTACAATTAAAATACAGAACTAAATTATATTTACAGGAAGAAATTTTTTTTTTCAGGGTGGGGGTGGCACTGAAGGGTGAGTGTGGCTACTTAAGTTAAACGCCACTCAGAGAATCATTAACTTCCTGACAGTTATAAAGAGACAGCTATTACAGTATCCCAACATTGACCAAGATTCAAACACCGCCCATAGCATCGTGACAAAAAGGAACTGCATTCGCTTGCTAGGCTACCCAACTAACAGACGACCATTTGCTTACCTGCCGCAGACGTCTTGGGCTTTGGCATCGTTTCGACACACAAATGAATTCTCCATCTCCACACTGTCGTCTAGTTTATTACCACTGGTCGCTGGAATCATTGAATTCGGATCCATTTTCTTTTTTTTTTTTCAATGGTGACTACAGGCTGGGTGTCGTGTGCTGAATGGTGCTGAGTGGTGCATTGTAATATGGTGCAATTGGACACAAAATGGTGCTAGTGAACTGGTTTTTTTTCGCAGTTTTAAATAGTGTTAGATCAATTCAATTTTTCTCAAATCGATTATGAAATGTGTCCCCAAGGGGTCGAACATTGGTAAAACCTTAGTTTAGCGTCGGTTATTATTCCGGAATCGTATAGCAGTAAAAAAAAACAGTAAAACAATGCCAAAGTCTGTCACACACTTCCGGAATTCACCGGAAGTACTGTAAACCATACTTTATTCTGCGTCATCTTTTATTTTTATACAGAATGTTTAAAATTTGGATATATTTATTTTTGTAATCATTTTTACTATTTTCGTACTCTAGATTTTTTTACTTGGCCTAGCAGCTAGATATCTAGCTAGATCTAGATCTAATTAATTAATTAATGGTCGCAAATCCGCTGCAAGCCAAATAACATTAAATTATTACATTTGACTTCATTATTTATATTTATATTAATATATGTTTTATTTTTATTTTTAGATCTACTAATTTAAATCTACTATCATATTTATTCTTGTTTCCTTTTGTCGATTAAACTTAAAAAATTAAAGCATTAATTGACTACAATCGACTTTCAATTTATTTATAATTCAATGGTCAAATAAACCATGGTTTACCGTAACTCTAGTTACCGAAACTCAACAAACATTACCCGATAATTTCCGACGCTAAACTAAGGTTTTACCCGAACATTAATGACATCTGCCTCCTAGGAATGAGGAGAGGGGTTGGATTCTTTTAACGAGAAGTGGAGAGGGGTGGGGATGGGAGGGGGGGGGGGTCATACAGCGTAACATAATATTTTATTTAAAAGGGAATTTTGTAGGCTGATTTTAAGAAGTTATTTTCTCATTTTTTTATAATGACGTGTAAATTACAATTCAGTTAATCGATATACCTAATCGAGGCCAGTTACAATTTAGAAAAAATAAAACATCTGTAAAAAACAAACTGCAGTTTGACAGCTGTTGTAGGCTGAAAAGTGTCGTAATAAAATTTAATGGGTCGTGGGTCTGACTTATTGTGATGATGGGGAGCGGAATGGTGTTGAAATAGTGTCGCCAACATCTATATTATGCAACTTATTGTGAGAATACTTTAAAATTATTGTAATACTCTTGGTTACTTCCCCTTACTAAACAACTTCACAAAAGAAAAGCCTAGTAGAAATTGCATTCTTAATATTTTTATCATCGCACAAACGACCATCGGGCTGCAGACTCATGTCCACATAGATATACAGCCAACAATATACAAACAACAACACAATGGCATCAGTTGTCGTAATATCATTTTTATTGTTATGTTGCTAGCCTTTTCACAGTTTTGCAGAAAACAATTTTTTGTCACACCATCATTATTCAAATTCAAGTTGTACACACGTCAGAATATGTATGTGCATGTGTGTGTATGTAAATATATATATATAATATATATATATATATATATATATACATATATATATATACATATATATATATATATACATATATATATATACATATATATATATATATATATATATATATATATATATATATATATATATATATATATATATATATATATATATACATATATATATACATATATATACATATATATATATATACATATATATATATATATATATACATATATATAAAATGCATATATATATATATAATACATTTATGTTAGACACACATGGTATATGTCTTACAAACAAAATGAGTAACTTGATTCAGATGCCCACATCACCTACAGTAGTAAAGGTTAACGCTACATCAGCACATTAATGGCAGTACCTACACAACTGTTTGATAAGTGAGACATTCCAACCCATAAAAATTAAAAAGGTGATAAATAAAAAATCACTTCTAACAAGAGGATAATGTATATTGACGACTGTCATTGACAGTTTATTGAAAACCAGAGCAGCAAATATATTAAGATAAGTAAAACGTACTATTTATTACATTATTCTAAGTGAAGAAATTGAAATGCCTGAAGGCTTATGAGTTTTATTTTAAGGGTTAAAAAAAAAAATTTCTGTATCAACTTCGGCTAACACAAGTGTTGCTTGTCTTTTTCAAATTAAAATCTTTAAAATAGGTCATAAATATAACAAACCTCCCTTCTACACATCTGTTTTGATACACAAGCCTAGTGTAACTATGACTCCAGTTTTCATTAATGACACTCTATAACCATAACACCCCCTCCCCTAACTCAAACTTTGATACACAGTATTAGGGGTAGTATAACTGTGACTTACAATTTATTTATACCATTTAAAACATGGTACAATTCAACACACACCTCTACATAAAACACCCCCCATCTCACATTCTCCATATAGAACCCCATTCCTAACATTTTTACAATGCCATAAAGATGAGCAATACAGGTTTTAAAATCTTTTCCTCAAGCATAACTAATCATAGGCTGTCAATTAGTATTTTCAGATGCCTTTTAATTAAGATCATGGAGAGTTTTTTAAAGTAAAAAAATGTAATTGACTACTAATCAAAATATTAAAAACTACACATTGTTTCACTTATCAGAAGCAAGGACTTAAATGAGATGTGTTTTTATTTCTGATCTTAATATATAAGTGCTTCAAGCATCTGTATTTTAAAAAAAAAAAAAAAAAATAAAGCTATGTAGGGGTTTTAAGAAAACAAAAAAAGTATTAGTAATTAAAAAACATTTTCTACTCAATTATTTTACACTGGATACAGAAGGAAGATTAAATAAAAAAATAAAAAAACAACTTATAATATGTAAGATCATTTTGCTGATTCTTTTCGAGTGAAAGAAAATGCTCTTTTTTAAAGACTTAACATTAATTAATGAGTACATTGCAGAAAGTAACAAATGTTAACAGTGTGTTATGAAATATTTTAACACACAAGCACCACTTTGCACAGGCTACGTATTCTAGTCAAGCCACACCTCATGCTCCATAATTTGAGGAGAAGACGTATTCTCCTCTATTTCTCGTTTGATTTACAAATCACTGACCTACAATACCCCCCAACAAAAAAAAATTATTCAAGGGACAGTTATGAAGATTATGTCTGTATTTAAAAATTTTGCGTTGCATTAATTTTTTGCCAAAGTACTAATGCTGAAAATTCATTATTTATTTCTTAACTAAATACTTTTGAATTTTAAAATAATATTTTGATTGTCTGATAAAACAGCAGAGGGGTTGTCCAAAAACAATGTCACTCACAAGGGCAGAGGAGCACTGACTTGGAAGAAAGGGGGGGGGGGGGGGGCTGTTTAAAAAGTAGGACAACAGTTGCATTTTAAAAAAATTATGTTAGAAAATCATTCTTGGCCATTATTTTGCATTTTTTTGATTTTTTTTTGTTTAATTGTATAAAAAATTGATGATATGTTTAATGTTGACTGAGTTGAAAAAAAAATAACTTTAAAATCCTGGACATCATGAATGGGTGAGCCCCAGCGTGTACTAGTTTATGGATCAAATGTTGTCTGGACAGGAGAAGTATTTCTCTACCACCATGTACTGGTTTAGAAACTGTTGCTTGTGTCCTTTTCTTAGACTAGTTGCATATATTGTGAGAGTAAAATTTTTAAAAATCTCTGCTCTATTTGTACCAACACCAAACTGGTACAATGTAAGTGGAGAAGTTTTGTGAACAAACAAAAACTAAGTTCACGAGTATAAATAATTTTAAGTAAGAAATGAAGAGCTATTTATAGATCAAAAGCACACACTATTCCCACATAATTTATGCAGTTAGTGATTACAGCTAATAAAAATATCATTTATGACAGCACATACCTTGTGACATTGTTTAACTGTACATATACACATAATGTATGCAGCTTTCCCGTACTATGTTCATGATAGATGCTGAGAGCGATACATAACTGATACATATTTTCATTAATCAAAACGCATTACAAAGCAAATTAATGTTAATTTAAAAAAACAATGTAATCTACAAGATGATGGAAGGTACAAAACAAGTGTATATTAAAATTAATTTATTTCACAGTTTTGATTGGTTTATGCATCAGGATTTACAACATAAACCAATTCTTTAAAGAAGGTAGGGTGACAGTGAAATGAAGAGCTAATTGATTGATTTAGGCAATTAGCAAGTACTTCCCTGTAGACAGACATGGAATACAAACACAAACAAGCAGAACAGCATGAGACTATAACAGCACTGCATCACAGCAGGTGTGGAGTGTATCCTTGCACATAATGTTAGTACATACACCAACATACACTTGCACATAATATTAAGACATACACCAACATAACCTTGCACATAATATTAAGACATACACCAACATAACACTGACATGTGTTGTGTTATTGGCTTGGGAATGATTGTTATGTAAATGGATTACTGACACACGTTTGGTGAATCAACAGAACAATGTATGTTGTGTACACTACCATAGCAATGTAGGTGCACATGACCATAACATAGGCATGTATGTTGTGAACATAACAGTAACAAAGACGTATTGTGTTATTAAAAAGCACATTACGGCTGCCACAAGCCTAATGTGATAGTCAACATACCAGCCTAGACAAATGCATGTGTACAATGACGTTACATAGACATTCACTACAATGAAATACTACAAGAGAGAGTGGTCTACAGACACCAATGTGTTCAAATAATATGAAGATAATAGGCATCAGAAGTGGATGGTTATTATTGGTAGACTAGCCAGTTAACAATTAGCAAAAGTGGATGGTAGTATTGGTAGACTAGCCAGTTTTTTGCATCAAAACTTGATGGTAGACTAGGCAGAGTAAGAATCAATGAGACAGCAGTTGTAAAGGCTTGGGGTACACAGCTCAACTCGCGCTACCAACGGTGGGGTTCAGACAGTCCAAAGAAAACCAACCAACGCTCTGGGGGGGTGGGGAGGGGGCGCGGAAAAGAGAAGGACCAAATGACCAGACATGAAGTGATGACCCAATATTGGCACTTGAATGGAAATATCAGTATGGTAAGCATCCCATGGTGTACAAGACATAGCAACTGCAACATCCTAAAATGGACAATATCATATAATTCGTCGGGTGTAGGTCAAAATTTGACTGACTTGTTTTTCTCGTAATTAAAAATCAACACATTTAATTCAGGAATTACAGAAATTCTCAAAATGATTTTTAAATTGACTAAATGTGTTCTGATAAACACACGCAAAAAAAAATGTTATTTGTATCACAATCAGTTGTTTTTATGACTAGCTGTATCACCAAAATATTTTAAATTAAAATAACTTATTTCATACAGCATTGGAGATTTTGCTTGGCTATTCAAATACATTAAAAAATTATAATTATGAAACAGTGTCATAAAAAAATACAATATATTGCAATAGCATTATGTTAAATAATATAAAGGAAAAAAAACCCAACTTAAAATATCAAATTATTTTCCAATAAATATGAACATCAACTTCCTCTTTGGTGAATGAGCAAAGACAAGGTATCAGAGCACTGTATGCCATCTCCCAGGTTTGATTAGCAAGCTTACTATCTGAGATAATACTCCACGTTCACATAGGTCACAAGGAAATTCACCAAGAACACTAACACATTCTAAGTGTGATGCAACCATGATGAGCTCTAGCCTCCATCATGGGCTGCTCCTCGGTCCACTTCTCCGTGTTGGGGTCAAAACACTCCACCAGGTTGGTGGGCTTAGAATTGACCAGCCCCCCAGCCACATAGATTTTACCGTTCACCACCGTCGCCCCGCTGAAAGTTCGGCAATACTTCATACTCGGCAGGGGCTTGAATGTTCTTTTCTGAGCATTGAGAGCAATCATCTTGTTTGAATCTTCCCAGATGATGTAGAAGACTGTGTTGATGACAACTATTTTAGCGTACTGAATGTTCTCCGGCAGAACGAACTGTTCTCCGCTGGGTCGGATAGTATCTTCCACAATGTGATAGCTATCTAAAACTTTATCTGCCGCGTCCTCCCCTTTTAAGCCCCCAACCTCTACAATTGTCTCGTTGTACGGAACCACACACGACTCCTTACGTGGGAACATAGTTCTCCCAGCAGCTGACCACGTATTGCTCACTGGGTTATAGCATTCAATCGTCTCCACCGTTAGCATTTTGCCCTCGTATCGCACCCCACCCAATACGTACATTTTATCTTTTAGTATGGCAGCGGCATGCTTTGCCCGAGGTTTGAGCATGGACGAAACCTTCTGCCACCTCCTCTCCACGACATCAAACTTCCAAACTTTGGCTATGATTTTATTATTACTGATCCCCCCTGCCACGTAAATACAGTTGGCTAACACTGCCACGCTGAAGTGTGTCACTTCCTCCGGCAGTTCTTCAAGATTCGACCACTTTTTCTTATCAGGGTCAAATCTCTCCACACTTACAGCGGTAGAGTCTTCACCCCCACCGCCTACCACCACTAGCATTTCTTTGGCAACAGTGGAAGGTCGAGGGCGAATCAGGATATCCTGCATGCTCTTTCGTCTTTTGCCTGCTTGCGGCTCATGGAATGATTGCTTTAGTAACTCAGCTTCCTGTATTAAAGATAAACATTTCTCAGAGGCACTCACTAGAGGATTGTGTTCAACAACTTTAAGATTCATCTCAGTCAAGCGTACATGTTCCAACAGCTTACACAGATGCAGCTCCCTCTGTTCCAAATCAAATTCTATCCACCTGATGACTGCGTTGAAGACGTCCTCCTCACTCCTAACATCAATGAGATCGTTAGACACGTACTCTATCAACCTCTCCACTGGGAGATCAAGAAACTCATCATTTTCAACAAGTGAGAGAAAATTTTCCAAAGCGTACTGCCTGGCTTTATCTTGCAGATCAGTGCAGCTGTGAAGTTGAGCAAAAGACTCAATACCCAGGCAGTTGGAAGGATGCAGTTGCTGGATCAAGAACTCCACGCAAGCTTCAACTATTGCCGGGTACTGGAACAGGCAGGCGGCTGCCAACATTTCCTGAGCATTGCTGGATGTGATTTCAATCTTACCACTGTAAGCGTAATCAATGACGAGTTTCAGAGTCCAGGGGGAAACTTCGTTGAAGCAGATTCTGTTCTCGCGGCTCTCCTTTAGGTCACTGGTAAACATGGCCTGGAAGTAGGGAGAACTAACCGCCAGGACGTTCTTGTGGCATGGAAATTCCTCTTGACCCACACAAATAATTGCATCAGTAAACAAAGCCTCTTGACGGAATTCATTGAGCTTTACCAACATGCTCTGGCCATACTCTGTTTCTTTTACGATATGTGACACCATGTTGGCTGGAAAAAAAAAGTTAAAACATTTTCTTGACATGTTATGTTAATCATGTTGCATTAACCCTTAAAAAAAAATCTCTCTGAGTAAGTTTAATCTGTTTTTTGAGCTTTTAATAATAATTTTAAAATAATTTAACAAAAAAGCTAAACAATCTTTTTTATTTCACACAATTTTAGTCATGTAATTTGTATATTAGGGATTATGCACATATTATAGAACACAAAACTTTAACATTTTTTGGCCAGCCCACAAAACACAGAAAAAACTTAACATAGCATTAGGTAGTTAGAACTTTGATAAAAGTAGGCTAAAATTAGAGTCAACTGCCTAAATGGTGCATAACCAGTTGACACATATACTTTCTTTTAACACCAAAAATTAAGAACGAAGAAGAACTTTAATTATTAAGGATCAAAGTATATTGGGAAAATTAAGTTTAAGCAATAATGTTCAGATATGTATTATTCACTATTGGCAATTGATGATTTAATACATAAAGGTTATCACTTCAATCTTTATCTAGAGTCAGTTGATTATAACATCAATGAAATTATTAGGTACTTTTTTTAACATAATAACATTTGATATTTCTTCTTGTTTCGCAAAACAGATATACACAGACATATATGGTCTTAGATTTAAATATTCTGCCAAGAGGTTAGGGTAGACAACTGATCTAAGATCACATTGTTTTAAAACTGATAAAGAATTTGAACCATCACTATTAGTTAATAGATTGTCATGCATGAAATTTTGGTTACACATTAGTCTTGAGAAGCTTTGAAAGAAATTTATAAGCTTTAAAGGTTAAAGATTATAGCTATAAACATTAATAATAAATTTCTGCAGTTTTGTCACAATTAATTATGTATAGCCTAAGAAAAGACTACATACATACTATACTATAAAGCTAACTACTATTTAGAAAGAAAGAATGTGTATACATAAATACATATGTATATTCATATTTAAGGAAATTAAAAGATTTTTAAAATAAAAAGGAATTGTAGTAACATTTCTCAATACCATCCCCATTACAAATAAGAAATAGTAAGCTACTCCCCCCCCCCCCCCCCCGAATCCCTGAATCGTTTGTGTCATATAATTTGTGCAAGATACCTTGACTCTCTCCTACCTTCAGTATAACTTTTGACAGACAGCGGCATCACCTGAAAAAAAATTGATATCTTGCACTGTTAAAAATGTAATTGTCAAGAACAAAAATCAAATACAGAACTAGCAACTAAGTGTAATCAAATTGCAATTTGTCATCAAATTCTAATGGACACAAGTGAGAATAGTCTCAAAGGTATCTGGGAGGCCCATCAAATATTTTTTTAAATCATGCAGTGTAATTAAAATTAATATGGTTATAAAACCCTGACTGTTTTAACTGTTTAGTTTTTTCAGACTTAAAAAAAAGAATGTATGCCTATGTATTTGACGTTTTGGCATTTTTTGTAAGTAAACACAATTTTTAAAAAAGGCAAAAGCAATTTGGTTTGCACATGATAACGGAGACTTAAACAATGACATCTTACTATTTGATAGGCTAGCATAAACTTTATTATACCAAATGGAAACAAAAAATGGCAGAACCAGGTCATGTGGTTTAAAATAGCATTAGGCCTATGTTATTTAAAAACTTTATCTACAAATTTATGTAAACAAATAACTATCAATCACTGAGTTCCTGTACAGCCAATCAATGTTTGTCTTAGAAAAGTGAAACATCCAGTTATAACTTAGGCTTGATGAAAATAAATAGAAATGTAGCCTTAAACTCAAAAAATTATTTTCAAGTTCTCTGGATATTTGCAACTTTTATAACGCTGATTCTAAAAATATTAAATTTCTTAATTATTATAAGGCTTTAGTTTTTATTTTTATTGTTTTTACACCCGCTATGAATTTAAAAAAAAAATGTTTTTATTCATGTCAACAATAAGATGAAAGTATTCTTGTCAATTCTGTGGCCTTCATTTTAGGCGCAAGTTAAACATGATTTATTTTTTAATATGTAAGCCAGCCGCCACTATGTACTTTTCTGTTGTATAAAAAATGATTTAAGATGATTAGAATAAATAATATTGTTCATTCTCATCTCATGATAATGATACCATGAATTTTGATGTTTTTACAGTTGTTTGACTGGTCTTAAAACATTAGGCCTAATCTCTGTAGTTTGCTAATGTGTAAGTTTATTCAGCATCTACTCCACTGCTTATCAGCTGCAGCAGATTGAAATTTAGATATCTAGCCCCACAGTAACTCAGAAATCAAAACACGTCACATGTGGTTTGTTTGATTGTTTTGCCACAAGTTTGTGACTGAGCACTGAAGGTGTGAGAAACAAAAAAAAATGAGTCGAAGTCTAATCTGCTTTATTTCTTTAGAGTTTAAATACACTTCACTCAGTAAAATTTGATACCGCCTATTTGTGAAATTTAGATTTAGTTAAGGAAAGTGACATGGTTACAATATTTTAAAATATTTTTATCTACCCTCAAGTCTTTGTTAGTTATTATTGTCGAGTGGTAACCGACAGCGCCATTTTGGAACCAGGAAATGACGTATTTGGAGGATTTTATTTTTCTCCACTAGGCCTGTTGCTGTTACTTCCCCTTTGGGAGGGACGTAAAATCTATAAAATCAGTTCATACAAAACTTCAGATAGTATGCTTACATAAGTAGGCACCATTTATAAGAATAAGACTTTCATCAACACAGAAGCACATGTTGGTAATTAAATTCCTCAGAGATACTAGTGAACGTGCATGATGCATCTAACCAGACGTTCGATCTTGCAGACCGAGAGTGAAAATCAGTTTCTTCCAGGCATCTCTTCGGCAGTGTTTCTTCCAGACTTTTTTCTCCGGGGGGGGGGGGGGGGGGGCACTTCAATACTTCGGGGGGGGGCGGTAAACTTTCTTCGGGGGGGGGGGGGGGCGGACACCGTTAAAAGTATATATTTTCTATATAAATTATATAAATTTCATTTCGTTCGGGGGGGGGTACAAATTTTTCGGTAGCCCCCCGAAGAGATGCCTGGAAGAAACTCTGCTCTTCGGGGGGGGGGGGGGGGAGAGAACGAACATTGTTGACCGCCCCCCCCCCCCCCGAAAATTTCAAGTGCCCCCCCCCCCCCGGAGAAAAAAGTCTGGAAGAAACACTGTTGGATAATTTAAGGGCAGATGTGTCAACGGCCAAAAAAAAAAAAACGGGGTGTTGACTTTTAGTAATAATGTGTGGCGATTGAGAGTCGGGGGGATGAAGTTTATAACAAGCGTGACGTTATTTTTCGTCGCCCTGTTAGGGGTCGTCCATAAATGAAGTCACACTCGTAGGGGGGATCGGGGTGGGTCAGTAATTTTGTGACGGTGTGTGATGAGGGGGGGGGGGTTCAGATAATGTGACGTCACACTTTAGCATAAAACAGCGCTGTTAGAAAACTAATTTTAGACTCGCTTTTTATAAAAATGTTTTAATAAATTGTTATAGGAATTGATTAAAATACCCTGTATTGACAGAGTTCAGACAAGATTTTGGAAAAATATCGATGTTTTAAGAAAAATTCAACTGCAATTTTTAGGGGGGGGGGGGTGTAGGCTGAGGTATGACGTCATTTTAGGGGTGGCGGTCTGGCTTTTGGTGACGACGTGTGACGGAGGGGAGGGGGGAGGTAAAAATCGTCCCAAAAAAAGCGTGACGTCATTTATGGATGACCCCCTTATAGCAAAATAAAATGTAGGTTCTATAAAGTTGATGTTCAAAATTTAAAAAATGGTTTTAATGCCTTTATATTTTACAAAACAAGGTATTATTCAGTAACTTTCTTCAATAATATTTCAAAAAAAGGATAGGTCCTACATCCATATTTAAAATTTAGGCTGTGATTATTTGAAGTACACTTCTAGTTCTAGAATACTAACTATATAATATGGTTTGCTTCATTATTAAACATTTTACTCTTGGAAATCGCATATAGATCTAATATCTGTTATTTCAAGAGGTTATTTTTTGTTTAGAAAAACACCTTGTTTAATATAAAATACATGCCAATATTTCAAACATTTCTAATTCCGAATTTTAGAATAGTCTAGTATCTAGAAATTTAAAAAAAAAATATTTTTACATATAATTAATGGCCAGTGTTTTAAAAACTTTTCTGGCAATGTTAGATGCAAACGCAGTCTTCCAGGCTAGGCCGCGAAAGTTTGAGAAAAGATGGATACAGTAACACAGTCAGAAAATATTATGTCAAGTACTCCCAAAGAAACAAGATCTTCCGTTGTAAGGATTAGATACGTGATGTAGATTTAGATATAGAATCTAAATAGATTTAGTTGTAATATTAAAAATAAATTTAAAAGGATGTTGGTTTTAGATCTTTGTCAAGTGCAAACGAAATGCTGCTGCCGAGAGAAAATCGGACAACAGTCACAACAGTACACAAATCGCATTTTCTCTAGATCTAGATATCTAGAGTCTAGACTAGTCGGTAAAACTCCTTTTTAGCGTATTTTATTCCCCGCTTCTCGTTCACCTCCAGTTGAGCGTATTTTATTATAAACATAACTATTAACTATAATTAACTGAAACACATAAACGAAAGGAAATCACTCTGGCACTCTGCCTATTTCTTTATGAATTTTTAGTGCAATTTCCATTCTGGAGAATTGCGTTTATTAACCCGTCATTTCTGGATGTATGAATGGATGGATGGATGGATGTGTGTCCGCAGCTTTAAGTCGTATCTCCTCCTCAACGAAGCAATATCGATGACTAGTTCCAAAAGCAATTATGTTAAGCAAGTTGCGAGGATGAACATAGGCCATAAAAATTACGGGTTTCTTTCATGGATTTCCCGGAAAAGCCAAAAAACCTTGAAAAAATGCAGTTTTTGGCCCATATCTCGGCAACCAGACCACTTAGCGACTTGAAACATGTACCAATCGACTCCTGCCATAATTTAGAACAATATTGCAGAAGAAAGTTTTGAAAAATACCCTTTCGTTCGGTCACAAAAAATTTTTTTAATTAATTAAAATTTGGACCGAATTAGTAAGCATATTTATCCAACCACACCACACGCGTCATCACGTTCAATAGCTGCGCCATCACGTTCAATGGCTGCGTCATCACGTTCAGTAGGCGCGCAATGGTTTTTAGTCATGTAACTCTATTGTAAATAAAACATGTAAAATACTGAAAAAAAAATTAATAAAAAACGTTTTAATAACTAACCAATGGTTTTACTAACCCTGCTCTTGATTTACGCTACGACAGAGCTATTTTTAGATAACATAAGGAAATTGTGCTTAAATGTCACTAGACTTTTTAATTAACTTGTTTATTTTGGTTTAGTTTTTTAAATTAATTTTGTCAAAACTTGAGATAAATTCTAAACTTGGAATATTGAATGTGAACTAATTAGTATTTAGATCTAGATTTAACTTTTTTTTTCTTTTTGAAAATATGTTCGTGTCAGTTAAGATTTTCATGGCAATGGGTAAAGTAGAAACGCATAGGCCTAATAAACATAATTGCATGGCATGATACTAGATCTATAAATTAACTAACATGAACTCACAATGACCCTTAGCTATGACGTATGCTCAGATGCTGATAATTAAAGTCAATGTGAACCCTTGACCATGTAGGGATTTTTCTCACGCCGACGATCACACGCTATTTAATTAAACTGTAATGCTTATTGAGAACATTTTTTGGATGATTATAGATACCGATACATTGGAATCTTCATACAAATCTATGTTAAAATTCAACCAAAATATTTAAATTATACATTGATTCACTGTTTTTTCTTTTGAATTACTTTCAGGATCGGCATGAAAGAAAAACTTTGCAAACCTTACAGCCTTTGGTAGCAGTCACACCTCGTCGTGTTGGTAAAAGTGTGTCCTCATTTTCTAAAGATTCCTTTGGTGTAACATCTGTAAGTTATATTGAGTAATTTATTAGTAACTCATTTAGTAACAGGATTAAGTCTATGACTAAGGAACTACATTATTTAATTTTTTTTTTCAGAAGACTCCATCCTCCACCAGTATTCTTAAAATTTATAAAGACACCAAGGCGCCAGATGCCTGCTCACATGTTCATTGCACAAGACAAACACAAACAGAAGATTTCTTGCTGCAGGACTTAATACAGGAGCACATCCGCGCAGATGATTTTGATGATAGTGGTCGAGTGTCAGGATATATTGACGATCTTGTGAACAATGGTTTGTTTTGAATAGGTTTCATTTTTAATTCCAACTATAAACTTTTCTGGGGAGGGACCTGGAGGGTCAGGTTCTTACTAATAAACTTCTGTTGTAGCTAAAAGGAACCAATGTCAACAACAGTCATAAAGTATATTTCATTACATAAATTCTAACAACAAAACATGTATTAAAACTTCCGTTGGTTAGTAGTCAGTTGCAAAACAAAATCTTATTTATTTAGCATTTCTTTCTATAGCTTAAATTGTAACTATATATACCCCGAGTAATCAATTGAAGACTGGCAACACTATTATGCTGATATTTTGAGTTAAAATATGGAGGGAAAGAAAATCATAAGCAAAGACTTGTTGTTGAATCCTGTGTGATACAAAGCCTGTTAAAATTCAAAAATGACTGGTCACATGGGAATGTAAAGTAAATTTTTTTCTGTTACAGATGAAGTATCAGAAACATATTGGAAAGATTTAGCGGAGGAAAGGAGAAGAGGCCTAAAGGAAGCACTGGTCGAAAATGAAAGAGTAAGAATGTTTTAAATAGTTTCTTCCACTGTTAACATTATTAACATAAATAGATTGTATCTGGAAAGTAGAGCATTTCAATTTACTATTGTGTATTAAAGGTTTAGTAGGTTTTGAGTTTGAAATTACTATGGTAAATCTATTACAACTTTATGATGCGCTTTCTGCAGCTGACAATAGAAGTAGAAAAGTTACGTGAGGAAAACACAAGACTGTCTGAAATAGCACAAGAAGCTGAAGCTCTGAAGGAATTACTCAAGGTAATCCTCTTTAGACAAGAGTTGTTTTTTTTTATTGATGAGTGTATTTATTGTTACTGTTGCATTTGCCACTGCTTTTGCAGCCATTGAATCATGTTTAAAGCACATCCCTTATTGAAGTGTTGGGGAAAATTATCAGAATGCTGGAGTCAGAAATACATTTATTTGCTTTTTCTGTATAAAAGTAAAGTACCTAAAAGTACCCTTTCAAACCCTAACATTCCACTGAGCAGGTGACATAGAGTTCATATGCTTTTGTTAACTTAACTCTTTGAGACCGTAACGACGCTCCCAGCGGTCGGTCCACCGGCCTGCCATACCGTAACGACGCTCCCAGCGTCCAATAAAATTTTCTCTCTTTAATTTGTTGTTTTTCGGAATCCAGGTTTTTAATCGTAAATCTAGGTCATGATAACGCTAGAGCGGCCATTTTTCGTTGTATTTACTTCTTGTAGTTTTCTCGTTAGATTGATTTTTGTATTTTATAGAATTTTTTGTGTAAACCAACTCGAAAAACAGCATTTTTTAACACTGGGGAATGCCATTCTGCGGACGCGTCTAAACGTTTAGGTCGCCGCATTATAAAATTAACGAAAATTAAAGTATTTATACTAAGACTAATCGGATCCATGATTTTTGTAGATAAATGGAGGTACTTTTGTTTTCTATGAATAAGAACTCATGAAAAGTTATTCTTATTATTAATTTTCCCAACAGAAGCGTAATATTTGCACGAAAAAAACAACTCTTTATTTTTTCTTCTTTAAAACTAAGTAATTATCTTTCTTCAATAAATAAATAATTCCTTAAAATTTATATCAGTGTGTAGGGTATTCAATTACGATTAATTTTTATCAGTAATGTGTGGGGTTTAAATTAACGGGTAAAAAGATATGGGTCATTTAGCCGCAGGGGTACTGATAAAAAATGAGGGGAAAAAAATAATTCCGGCAAAACGTGAAAATAATTACAGGCTAAAAGAGGGTATAATGTGAGTACTACTATGCCCTGCTGTCTCTCTTTGTGTGTTGTATCATTAATACTATTATTGATAGCGTGTGTGCAGTGGTGTGGTCTAGTGGTAGAACTAACACTTGCAAACCCATAAGTCACTAGTTCAATTAATGTTCAAATGCTCAGTCTGTCCCTTGACTTGAGACACACACCCATACATATTGAGACAGGTAGTGCAATGCACCAGGGAAGGAATCAAAACACCTATAAAGAAATTTGTTGTCTGTCAATAAAGCTGAGAGAAATTCTTGATTTCTCCTTTTGTTGTGGTTTGCCTGATATAACAATAACAGCATTCCTTGAGCCAAATCTGACCATTTACAAGAGACTGTGTGACAGTTGGAGCCAAGTTTACACATACTGGTCTATGACATGTGGATGTAATGTCACATGTACTTGTAATATGTTTTGATTGTATATTTCTGTGTTTTTTTCTGTGATTTTTTTAACTTGTAAATTGTACGATGTGATATTGGTGAGCTGATGTTAATGGGTTTTGACTATACATTTTTAGGATGTGATATCTGATGATGAAGAGGCAGAAAGTCCTGAGGATACAGAAACACAGATCCAAGAACTTGACCAATCTGGTAAGGGCCCAAAAAATTTTTTCTTGTGTAATACTGTCTAGTGTTTAATATCATTTTTATCTGTGCCTTTTCAAGACTTTTTGTTGGTGTATTTCAAATTTTGTTAGTAGAAAGTTAAATTCAGAATGATTGTTACTATAGGTGTTAATTCAGTTCTTACTTTTTTTTATAAATGCATGTCAAGGCCTAAGTGCACATACCACTATGGAATAATAACCCATTTGTGGTTCATGTGAAAGAATACATCTTGTCGCTGTATAGTCATTCCAGAATTGTATACAGCATAAGTAAAATCTATTCAGGGAACTAATTCAATTCAAACTATGCTGTAAAATAACAAATTTAACACCATGTATTTTGTATTATCTGTTATACATACAAGTATCCATATTAATTAACATCTGTTTTCTGTATTAGAGGGTTTCATCATTGCTTTTTCATAGTGTAACAAAAGTGAGAAATCATAGTTGCTTATACCTTCTATATCTTAGCACAAGAGCCAAATCACAATTCCACCAGTGTAAAGGACCAGCCTGACCTATCAACCAACCCGATGAAATCTGATGATGAGGGCTCATCTTCCTAATACAGTTCTACTTTTAAACAATGTCAATGCAGTATTTTAAATGTCAGTCAAGTTTTTATTGTTATTTTATTCAACTTTTCAATGAAATGTAAAATATATTTGTTTAATTGGACACAATCTTTCATACATTTGAACTGGGATCTGTAAACACTTGATTTCAATTTTTAAATTTACTTTTTGTAAGAAAATCCATGTTTGGCATCCTGTTTTTTGTTTTTATCATTAATGAAACAATAAAACAATATGCTGTACATTTGTTGAAAGGACTAGACAAAAAGGACTATGGACCCCTCATCAGAATGGCTTTTATATTAGGATTGATTGTATGTTAGTACTAGTGTACAAACTAAAGTTTCAGTGAATCAACATATCAGTCAATTATTTCTTCCTTTACTTTTAGTTGGTTTATTGTAAATGTTGAAAGTCCCACATAACTTGTTTTATTGTTAGCCAACTAGGCAATGGTGTCCATGTATGAAGTCTTGACAGTTGTATGACTTGTTGGATTATTTTCCAGCATTTGTAATATACTCAAAGAGAATTAAAATATGCCTAGTCTTTTTCATTAAGTTTTTTGTTTTAGTTAATTTGTACTAAATAAATATTTTTGGTTCTTAAGTTTGTCTAAACAGTTGTTGAAAGTTAATTTACACATAGTAATTGATATTCATTGGATGCCCTATTATATTATATTAAAATAACTATGCTTTGAGCAAGTAATGTACAATTTTAATACTGAATAAAAAAAAATGAATTTGTTCTTTTAGTAGCTGAATTATTCAACATTTTTCAACTCATAGCTCATTGGAATCAGATATTACTCTACACCAAACTTACACATTTAAGCAAAGTAATTTTGAAAAAGGAATAGAGACAACCCACTTTTTGTGCATCAAGAGAATTTTTTATTAAAAAGGCAAAAAAAATGTTCAACAATGGAATAGTAATTACGGTACTTTACATGTTGGTGACTGAAAAACAGCAATCGATGAAGCCAAATCAGTGAGGAACCCAGTGTATGCAACTAGCAACATGATTTTTTGCCATTTACAAGTTACAAGGAAAACAAACCTTTCCAAAAGGGACCTTAGCAAAAACGTTTTGCAGTCAACAGACCAGTTAAAAACCTTGAATATCTTCGGTTAAAAAATTTCAGTGAAGCAACGTCAATGCTTATAAGGAAGAAAGAAAATTCAGATGTAATTGTCAATACTCCAGTGGTTTAACATGTCAGAACTAGTTTTTTATATTACATGATCCCATTACTTTACTACTCAACATGAAGAATAATAAATTATTTTCAAAATACTTTGAAACAAATGGAATCCGTCCTATCAACTTACTAATTTAAAATTATTTTCAATCTTATTTATTAAAAAAAAAAATTATAGAATTAAAAGTCAACATTTGTATGGGATGGCGTGGTTAAATGGTAGAGTATACATCTGCTAACCTGGAAGTCCTCTAGTTTGGGTCTCTGCACATCCCATGGTCCATTCAACTCTGATGGGTATCTGACTTTGGGAAAGTAAAGGCAGCTGGGCATAGTGCTGACCACACTTTCCTTCAACTGTCCATGGGCCATCAGATCCAAAATGGAACTTAACTACTATTTGTTTTGTGGAAAACTGAGCCAATTTCTTAATCTTTAAACTTTAGTTTTTTATCAAGCTGTATTTTGACTACCCCTTCCACCTTTTTTTTTACGCCCTTTCAAACAAGTCATCGATTGAAGTTACTATAGTGAAACAAATTTAACACACCATACATTTTAGGTACACTGTGGCACCCACCTGAAAGAACATTTCATAGACCATAATACTAGAATTGATAATAACCCTGACAGCATGATAGAATACTTATCATTGCTGCCGAAAACATGTATATTGTGTCCCTACGTATCTTAAATAATTATGACAACATATATGTTTGTCCTTACAAATCTTTAAAAGATATTTAAAAAAAATTTCTTTTTCCTGTTCACCATAATGCAGGCTAACGACACTTTATTAGTTAGAACCATGGCATTGCATTGTAACACTGAAACACACCAACTGGGAAATTTGAGAAAAAAAAGTGTTGTACAATCTGTTGCTAACATTTCTACCTGTGATCAGTAACTTTCAACATTTCTAACTGTGACCAATAGTTCACTAACAATTATTCTTAAAAATGTAAACTTGTAAAAAAGCAATGGCACAATTTCGTTTAACAAAAGTATATTTACAAATAAACAAAATTAAATTAATAAAGCACTTTTACATATAAATTAGTTAGAAAACTAATGAATCAATTTTAACAGTAAATTGATTTTTAAAAATGATTTCCTTTTAAAATGTGACAAATTAAATTCAGTCCTTTTATTTTGGTAATACAAAAATCCACCTATACACTTTTGCTATGAGGACAAGCAGCAATACAATACTACTCTTGAAGTCCAAATTTCATTAGCTTTTTTCAGCAAAGTTTTAAATATGTTTTCAACAAACTAACTATAATAATGAAGCCCTTGATATGAAAAACAAAACAAAGGGAAGTAGCATTGCTTGTTGTCAATATCTCTTATAAAAGTAGCAAATGTCCTTAAAATAGACAAGAACAAAAGTTCAGTCCTTACAACAAGTCATCCATACAATCAATTTATTTTTACATAAATCTACAAAATATGTACCAGTCTAAAAAATCTAAAACTACAAACGATAAAAATTGATGAGTTTTAGCCTGAGGTTGAAGACAAATATTTCCATGAACAATAATACTAATAGTTGATAATTTTAAAAATGGTTGTTTTTTTTTCTTTTCTATGGCAAAGCAAGATGGAATGTTGAAAGCAAAATACATTTAGGAATTTATAAATGTGATCTGTTATATCAACCTAATAGCACGAAGAAAAGTTTTAAAAGTTGAGTAACCCAAAGCAATTTTAATGGTGATCAGTTTGAAATTGTTTTTTGTTGTTTTTTTTTTCATTTGTAATAAAGACAGATTAATGCAATAACAAAATGACATTTGTTGAAAATAATATTCAATTAATAGAGGCAATTATATCTTTGTCACTGGTCTTCTATGTGGAATCCAGCAAAGCATAATCCAGTTCTATCTTTATCCTTATTATCACTGATCTTCTATGTGAAAGCCAGCTATAATCTAAGCTCATCTTTTTTTCATTCTAGAATTACAATTCAACTCAAGTCAATACCAAGAGGGACAAGAGCTATTTTTTAATGTCTCACAATGTCAGAGCTAACAGCTTCTTAATATTTTAATAATATAGGGCCTATATGGAGAGGCGTCACGAGGGGGTGGCGTGTATTGTACCCGATGACACCATTTAAGGGGGTGACACCAAGATAAAAATTGTAAAATATATAATAGACTTAATCAAAAGCTTTAGTTGGGACGAAGAACCAAAGAACCAGAGTTAAATTACCAATCTTGAACCTGTGGTCCAAGTTCATGTTTCTGACTTCAGTTACTTAGATCTAGTAAAGATGTGAAGAATAAAGCAGTATTAAAAAATTGTACCAGTAAAGGCAAAAGTTAGTTTAAAAAAAAAAAAACTTTTTACATGAAATACTTCAGGAAGCTTTATCATACTATGTACAAAGACATTTTTTTTACATTTATGAAGGTACTCTTAAAGATCAAACTCAAGAATGAGTATTAAAACAAGTGAAGCAGCTAAACCAAAGTGCACAATGGTAGAAAATCATAGTGTACTTCGTGAGGAAACGTTACTAAACACTATATTTAATACTACCTAAATGGATGCCTACACTATCAATACAGTGCCCTTGTGAAAAAGAACATATACACAGGCAACATATCAAGGCCAGCATTGAAGAAAAAAAAATCAACTGCATTTGCATAGAAAGCATGAACAAAATAATATAATACATTGTAAAAGTCAACTTTCAAACTTATATTTAGAATAACTACTAACTACTATTGTAGAAATTCTCATTTAGAACATTTGTAATGGCAATATTACTTTTCCATCAATTATTTTTTTTACATCAACAAGAGTATAACTATAAGTTAAAGAAGTAAAAGTTGGATGTAAACAGATGACAAGTTGAATTGTATTGCCATGTAGTTGAGTATCATTAAGCATGTTTACCAACTGGCAAGCATAATCTCATTTATCACTGGATAAAAATAAACTGGACATAAATAAGTTATTAGAAATGAATACTGGCCTTTGTGACAAAACTATTTTATTCACTAAAGATGTCTAAACAGTTTCTGTGCCATGTGGAATAAGTGATGTGCTGGATAATTTCTAAGACATGTTAAGTGCCAGATACATTTCTAAAATGTGGGGTTAAAAATTATTTTGTGTTTTTTTTTGTGCTTTAAAATTTGTAAGGGTAACATTATTTTTTTTTCCGCTTCAGACAAAATTAAATTTCAATTTCCAAATGATTCATTTTAAGAATTAAGAATTATTACTTTATTGGCTGATATTTATGTTTTAAAATTAAAATTTCTGTTACAAATACATGTTTGTCCACTATATTTATATTGCTGTTAAATTTTTGTAACGAGAATTTCCTATCCATAAATCAAGGCTTATAGAAAGACAATGGTGCACAATGTCATAAAATACAAAGTTAAAAGAAATAATATCACATACATTAACCAGAATATTTGGAAGGATCATTCCATATTGTTAATCATCAAAAACATCTGGTATCCATGTTAACATATTAGAATTACAATGAAACATTATCTATAAAGACCACAAAAGAGGAATGATTTAAGTAAATGAACACCTAATTAGTGCATGAACTATGATGTCATTTTGCTGCATTCGGGTCTGCTATATACAACTGCCACTGTCATCCAGGTATATCTGAAAAATAACTTAATCACAAAGCAAAAAAAAAATACTTCACACATTTTAAATCAAACATGGTTTAGAGAAAATTGTTTATAATTAAAAAAAAAACTGTCTGTGATAACAAAGATAAAATATTGCAATAAATATTTGCCAGCCCTATGATGATACATTGACAATTTTCACTAACATATCTTTTGTACAATGTAATGACTATTCAACAAAGAATACACTCAACATCTCAATGACTTAACAGAAACGCACATCCATTTGTAATTAAACACAAAAGTAAATTATACTGGTAAACCTGGCATGGTTTCTTGTGTTATTTTGAATGAGATTTGTGCTGAAACCTGGCACATTTGCTCTTGTGTGATTTTGAATGAGATTCATGCTTAAACCTACAAAAGAAGACACGTTTTTCAAAACAAATGCAAATTCTCATGTTGAATGTGCGGAGTAGGAGAGCAGTGAATAAATGCAAATAAGAAAAATATCTACTCTAAATACTTTTAACTTGAATTGTAAGCAAAAAGTTAATTTACGTTACACTTAGCAATACTTTTAACAACAACAGTTTGATAATAAATTAAATTATTAATTTAAATTAACCCACACACCACTAACACCATCAACAATCAGCTCCTTATTAGACAGTGCCTGCCTTACAATTAAAACCTTTATGAGAAGTTAAAAGACTTTGAATTCACAGGGAAAATTAGAAATTCACACAACTTTAAGATTAAAAGAAAAAAAGATCACAGATTTTTAAAAAAAATGGTGTTACGATAATCAAATCACTAAAGTAGATTGTTAATTCTTGTATACCAGTCAAGATTGTAGCTACAGCTAATAAGTAATTTATACAATTAGGGCAGCAAACAGCTATGGTACCACTGAATGTGCTGGTAGAAGCTGTTTTTACAGCAACTTTTAGGTTTTATGCTATTCCATTAAAGCTTTTTCGAAAAGCTATCTGACCACTTTCCTAGATGAAATATTTTATCTACTACTTAAAAAATTATTCCTAAACAGATCAATTAAGCCAAACAGATAACTTAGAAGTGTATAGGCTACATGAAAATATTAACCAAGAAATAATATTAAAGTGTTTTCAAATATACAGAACAAACAATTTTAAAAACCTGTGTAAAAAATGATTAAGGAAGAAACAAAAAAGTATGTGTAGAGAAATATTAAGGAAGGGAAAAACATAATAAAAATGTAAACATAATGGAGGTTTCCAATGCTGCACAGGGAGGTGAAAACTGCTGTTAAATGGAGGATTGATGGAAGACATGTAATAGACTCATCACAAATTTTCCTAAGCAGTGATAAACATAACAAAATCACAAATAAATATGAATTTAAAAAAAATTATTTCCCTGATGTTTACACATCTTAAATGGCAAGTAGAAAACTAGAAAACAATGAATTGAAAACTACTTAAAATTTCTCTGATAAAGAACAGAAAAAAATGAGGCTGAGATGATTCAAAAATTTTTGTTAAACATGATTCATATTAATATTTTATTTTAAAAAATATTAAAACTATCATAACAAAAAGAATTGTGTTGAAATATTGTTTTAAATGTAGCTTATTAATTTTATTTGATTTATTTGTTGAAAAATAATATAGAAATTTAACAGAAAAGAAAACAGTTTAAATTTGCATCTCATACATTTTATAGTTTAAAAATCATTGAGTTAGCAAGAAAAAAACAACCTCTTTAAAAAGTTGAAGCAGAAATAAACCTAAACAAAACACTGTAGCAAAACAATTTATCATAGCAATGCTTTTGAAGGAAATTAACTGCAAATTATAAACAGAACACAAAAAAACTTATTGAATAAGAATAAAAATTTAACTTCCTTTGCAATACCGCAGCACAATTTTCATCCATGCAACATCTATCAATGCTATCATAAAAATGTTTATTATGTTTTGAAAACATTTAATTTAAAACAAGACTTGGTCCCTAATAGAAACACACATATATTGCCAAAACATATCACACTATCTACCTGAATTATCATGATTTAAATTATAAATAAATTACCATGAGATGTAAAAAGAAATGAGGTGAAAAAAAAATTCTCTTTCTTTATATTTCATAAGGAAATAAAACTCAGGCATTGTTTGCTTATCTGTATATCAGAACAATACTTGTATAGGTTAGTTGAAACTCCCTAAACCAGAGAATAGTCCTAGAACTAATCCAAAATCTATCCTTACCCAAACCTTAAACTTCGGGTGTACAGTGTTTCTTCCAGACTTTTTTCTCCGGGGGGGCACTTGAAATCTTCGGGAAATTATATAAATTTCATTTCGTTCGGGGGGGGGGGGGGGGGGCGGTAAAAATTTTTCGGGGGGGGGGCTTTGCCCCCCCCGAAGAGATGCCTGGAAGAAACTCTGTGGGTGTACCAGAGCTAAGCCAACAAAACCTAAAATTTTATTACCCTTAAGATAAGAGAATGTTGCAGGAATGAGCTTTTCTTTGTATGAACCCCTCATGTTTGACATAAATATCGCTAAATGTTGTGTAGAAACATAACAAAGACACAACTAATACAGATTTGTCTAGTAGACAAGCAGACACAAGACAGACATATGCCTATAGAAGACAAGCAGACAAATGACATTTAAAAAATAGCAGACAAATTACAGACATATCATGAAGGCGGGCAAATGATACACATAGAGTAGACTAGCAGACAAATGAGAGACACATAGAAGACAAATGACAGACATATTGAAGACAAACGACAGACATATAGAAGACAAGCAGACAAATGACACAAATAAACAAGTAGCTATTACAGGTCTACCTTAGCATAACACCAGCAGTTAACTGATACAAGAAAACACGACAGAAACAAGACACACACAAATCAATGACGTAAGCAACCTACACGGATACATATATGACAGCCTAGCGATGCACAGTGGAAGAGTGTTACATCATAACGTGTTATTCTACAGTCGTTGTGACGCAAAAGAAAAATAAAACCAAACTACCATGATGGTGCACAACTTTGAACACAATTGTGGGAGTAATAAATACTAGATTCTAAGTAAGCCTACGAATGAAATGGAACATTCGCTGAGTCAAGGTAATCCAAAGCATGTGAATCCTTGTAACAGATCTAAGCATTAATCTGAATGAGTTTATATATTGTAGGCGAAGGAGCTCAGCATCTTATCTGAATATGGCTTTGTACATAGGCGGATCTATGGGATGATGAGTGGGACTTTTGCTACCCCCAAAAAATTGGGGTGAAAATTGAGAAAAATGTAAGCCATGAAAAATTAACAAATCTTTTGCATATTTTTGTATATTTTATGATATTTTATATAAAATGTTCAGTTCTTAATGTTTCACAATATATACTTGAATAGCTATAAAACACTGAGGCTTAGCCCCCCCCCCTTCTCAAAATGAAACGCTAGATCCGCTTATGGCTTTATGTACAGGCCTACTAATGCAACCTTTATTGTTACAAGTAATATATTAAGCCTATAATCTAAATAGTTTACATACAATATACTTAGCCAATAAGACTACGTGTCGTAGGTTTAGCTCAGACTATACAAATTGTTACAGTTAGCTCAACGCTACACAGTGGAAGTGTAAAAAGTCTAGTCTGAAATACAGAGATGGCGTTATGGTGAAGTGGACTAGAGGTAAGAAGAAAAAAAATAAAACATAACGCAATGAAAATTTGGTTGAAAAAAAATATGGAGTAAATATCACAGGAAAAGTTGATGATGATAGTCATCAAAAGGGCAGACGATTTCATAACGTGGGCATCAAAAGGGCATACAAATCATCACAGGGGGGCATCAAAAGGGCAGGCAGTTTTGATGCTGCCCCTTATGAGGGCAGATATAAATAAGCTTGACCATCCACGAAGCAGCTTTGCGAAGCTCTTCTTCCCGGAGAAATATACAAGAGACAGATCGAAGTGTTCACGGGTTGCAAAAGTGAAGCAAAGTAATCCCATGCTTTTTCGTGTTGATACTTCAAAAAAAAAAAAAAAAAAACACTACCACGCGCATGCGCAACATGGCTTAAAGTCACCGGCTTGAGATTAAACTGGTATAAATGCCATTCATGAATATCACTACGCATAAATTAGAGAGTAGGAAGCGTTTATATTTTTATTTAGACAATGGTCTCTCCTTTATACATAACACCGTCATCCGAATACGCGCGGAAGGATCTGTTCCGCTGAAAAACGTAATCGGAAGCGGATTTCTTCAAGGAGATGCTGGTGGAGGACTCCCCTTGCGACCATCGTGCCGTTGAGCTGGTTTTGTGCTTGAAAGGGTTAACCCCAGTCACGTGCCCGTTCATGTACGCCACCATGTTTGACCCCGCCGACGACTTCCGGGAGCTGGATTTTTCCGAGTCGGCGGAATCGTAATCCGAGCCGTCGCCGCCCCGGCAACGAGGGAGAGTCGCCCGGGACTGGACGTGGCGGTAGAAGAGCGTGAAGTTGTTGGAGATGACGGGGATGGTCAAGGCCACGAGCAGGACGCCGCAGACCGAGCAGGCGGTGCCGACCACGTAGCCGATGGGCGTCTTGGGGTAGATGTCGCCGTAGCCCACGGTCGTCATGGTGATGATGCTCCACCAGAAGCCCATGGGGATGGTCGGGAAGTTGTCGCCGCCCTCCGTGGTGTTCTTCCGCTCGGCGTAGTAGATCATGGTTGAGAATATCAGCATGCCGATCAGGAGGAAGATGAACAACATAAGGAGTTCTTGGATGCTTGCCTTGATGGCATACACCAACACCTAGCAATAAACAGTAAACATTAATTGTAATTTACACCTAGGACGTATATATATATATATATATATATATATATATATATATATATATATATATATATAACATATATATATATATAACATATATGTATATATATATATATATATATATATATATATATATATATATATATATATATATATATATATATATATATATATATATATATATATATATATATATATATATATATATATATATATATATATATATATGTAAATACTAAACCCTACACATAAAATATCTTACATACGATATTTCCGAAAGAGGGAGGTAACTTGCAACTAAAACGTTATGATAAGTTACATCCCTTGGTTTGTTGTGTTGTGATATAGTGCATTAATATGCGTACAGTTTACTAAACTTAAAAGCTGTTTCCTCATATCTCTTTAAGAGTCTACACAAATCTATAGTGTGAAGTGTTGAAAATTGGTTTGTGTGTTGAGAAGACGGGGGGGGGGTGTATTTTTATTCTAATTATTCTGTTTTATAAAAGCTATAATTTTTTTAATTTAATAAAATTTTAAATATTTTTATCTTAGCGTTATCTTACAACAAATGGACAGAGACAATTTTCAGTAACCTATTGCCATATAAAGGTAAAGTTTAAAAAAAAAAAATTCATAATAAACGTTTTAATAACAAGCTTTTATGTAATGATGCACTAAAAAGTAGAAAATAAATTATACACTACTATTTAAATTACTATAAAGAAAAGCGTGGGTCACTTTAGTACTTTAGTACCTATTGGATACCTTTACTAATATTTGAAAAGAGACCCACGCTTTTCTTTATAGTAATTTAAATAGTAGTGTATAATTTATTTTCTACTTTTTAGTGCATCATTACATAAAAGCTTGTTATTAAAACGTTTTTTATGAATTTTTTTTCAGTACTTTACATGTTTTTTTTGCAATAGTGTTACAAGACTAAAAACCATTGCGCGTCTATTGAACGTAATAGCGCGCCTACTGGGTGATGGCGCAGCTATTAAACCTGATTGAACGTGATGACGTATGTGGTGTGGTTGGATAGACATGCCTACTAATTCGGTCCAAATTTTAATTAATTCATAAAAAATTAATTAGGCATCCAATTAAGTCAAATTTAGATTCAGATTGCATTGTCTTCATGTCTTGACCCACGTGCCAACTGTGAATCGTATCGGTCAAGTAGAACTGTCCGAATTTTCACTCCTGCGTTTCCATCTAGACTGACGACAGACTGTCGACAGACTGTCGACAGAGGAAGTGAGTTAAAAAAATTCATAAAAAACGTTTTAATAACAAGCTTTTATGTAATGATGCACTAAAAAGTAGAAAATAAATTATAGACTACTATTTAAATAACTATAAAGAAAAGCGTGGGTCACTTTAGTATCTATTGGATACCTTTACTAATGTTAAGGAAGACACCCACGCTTTTCTTTATAGTTATTTAAATAGTAGTCTATAATTTATTTTCTACTTTTTAGTGCATCATTACATAAAAGCTTGTTATTAAAACGTTTTTTATGAATTTTTTTTTTCAGTACTTTACATGTTTTATCTACAATAGAGTTACATGACTAAAAACCATTGCGCGCCTACTGAATATCACGTTCAGTAGGCGCGCAATGGTTTTTGAACGCAGCCATTACGTGGTCGTGATGGCGCAGCTATTGATGACGCGTGTGGAGTGGTTGGCTAGACATGCCTACTAATTCGGTCCAAATTTTAATTAATTCATAAAAAATCAATTAGGCATCCAATTAAGTCAAATTTAGTTTCAGATTGCATTGTCTTCATGTCTTGACCCACGTGCCAACTGTGAATCGTATCGGTCAAGTAGAACTGTCCGAATTTTCACTCCTGCGTTTCTATCTAGACTGACGACAGACTGTCGACAGACAGAGGAAGTGAGTTAAATAAAAGCTTGTAATAAAAGCTTGTAAAAACAACAACTGTGGGAGAGGTACTATAGATATGAATATTTGAAAGGGAAGAATGTCTGATTTGATGTAGGGCCTACCTTATTGTACTTATCATTCGGGCTGCTCATAATATTTATATTTTATTTTTCTTTAATCCCAAATTTGTCATAGCTCTACTTATTAGACACCCCCCCCCCCTCAGCCCACCACACCTACAAGACAAATCCCCTGAATTACCATTTAATTACACCTTTGCATCTTCATGTTTAAAAAATACAATTGTAATTAGACATTTTATATAAGATATGTGTATAAAGAGCCCATCATAAATGAATGAAAATACATGTCAGAAAGAATTTTACTATTGTAAATCTGTATCAGTCTTCATTCGATGATGAAAAGTATGATACTAAAGCGAACATGGCAAGGCAAACTGACGCTAAACATTTCATGTAGAGGCAAAAAAAAGTAGCCTACAAGTTTGACAATCAATTTGTCCCATACAAATCTATTGTACCATTCTTTCCAAAGTATTTTAAGCTCTGTGACGTACATCATCTTATCCTATCGGTGCCTAGGACTTACAAGGGCCGCAATAAACAGTGGGAGATCTTCTCCCTTTTTACAGGTTTTAGCAGAGGCGTAGCGACCCTTCCCGGCGCCCGGGGACAAACTTTTGATTTGCACTCCCTCCCTCGAACTTTCGATTTGCACCCTCGAACTTTCGATTTGTTTCTCCAACCCATTTTGGCGCCCCCTAAGGTCGGCGCCCGGGGACTTATTCCCCCCCCCCCCTCGCTACGCCTCTGGGTTTTAGTGTGAACTTCCTTACTTGGTTACTCTAGCGCTGTTTTTTTAAAAAATAGAAATATGTTTGCTAAACTTTTGTTCTATTCCCAACCTAGGGGACCAGGGTGCTAGCTTTTGGTTTGACCATCCCCCCCCCCCACCAACGCATATCTTCCCAGCTTGGTTCAACATGCCAGGGGTTTCTCAATGTCCACCGCTCTCTCTCCCCCCCCCCCCCCCGCCCTTCCGAAAAAAATGGAATTATAGCAAATATATACTTTTACCAGTGCCCCCCCCCCTTCCGAACGAAATGGAATTATAGCAAATATATACTTTTACCAGTGTCCACCCCCCCCCCCTTCCTTCCGAACGAAATGGAATTATAGCAAATATATACTTTTACCAGTGTCCACCCCCCCCCCCCCCTTCCGAACGAAATGGAATTATAGCAAATATATACTTTTACCATTGTCCGCCCCCCCCCCCCTTCCGAGAAAAATGTCTGGAAGAAACACTGCTGCTAAGCCACGACAGTACAACACATAGATCTGTGTGGCAATATCGAATCTTTTCTCAAAATATTTGTTTAAACACATGAGCTGGTCACAATTTCTCTATTCATTTTGTGAAAGTATTGTCGTGGTCAAGTCGGTAAAGCTCATGGTTGCTAAGCCGAAAAGTCTCGAGTTCAAACCCTCGGGCAGATGAGGCTCGTTAGCTGGGGACAGACACTCTTCTAGGAGATACAACTCCAAAATAAAAAATCAAAATCTTGGTTGGACAAAGGCTATGGAAGTAAATTCGAAAAGAAAAGCAGGCTGAAATAGGAGTCAATGAATGGTGCTTAACCAGTTGACACGTATACTTAATTGTGTTGGAGTGGGATACCTTCGAACACTAAAATTAAGAACGAAGAAGAAGAAGAAGATGCAAACAACTGAAGGACATTTGAAATAATGTCACCGAAAGTACTTTAAAACATGCCATCAGCTAAGAGCATTGTTTGCATTTAGAAAATATAAAGCCAATACAAAGTAAAATGTTATCAAATTAATTTACAAATGTCTCCATTAACTAAATGCTTTGTGTGTAGACTGGGAATTTAAAGTAAATTATTATTACATTTTTCCATAGCTAAAAAAATTTATCAAATCATCGGTGCCACATGTCATCAGAATGGCACGTTTAGACATGGCCTAATTATTGGATGGATTGTATTCATCGATCGATTGCCAACGTACAGTTGATGTAATGTGGATGTATCATGTTATGGGTGATATATTGTAGTGTGTGACCTGTAATAGAATCATGTGACAGTACTATATACATATTTTATGAGATTGTACCTCGCTGCACAATCGTGAGTATATAATGTGAATGTATCTTGTGATTGTCGTAACTGTATCTTGTGATTGTCGTAACTGTATCTTGTGATTGTGTCTCGTAATTGTATCTTGTGATTGTATCCTGTACTCCCCTTGTGATTATATAATGTGACTAACCTATGAACGTGTGATGTGATTGTCTCCTGTGAATAAATTATGTTTGATGGCATCGTGTGGATGTATGATGTGAATAGTTTATGTGATTATATCATGCGATTGCATGATGTGAATATTCTAAATTATATAAATTATAATTGTAAATACATATTATACGTAAATATATGATATATTATATGTAAATATATAATGTGATTGCATGATGTGAATATTGTATGTAAATTTATCATGTGATTGTATCATGTTAATATTGTATGTGAATGTATCATGTGATTGTATGATGTGAATATTGTATGTGAATGTATCATGTGATTGAATGATGTGAATATTGTATGTGAATGTATGGTGTGAATATTGTATGTGATTGTATCATGTTAATATTGTATGTGAATGTATCATGTGATTGTATGATGTGAATATTGTATGTGAATGTATCATGTGATTGTATGATGTGAATATTGTATGTGAATTTATGGTGTGAATATTGTATGTGAATGTATCATGTGAATATTATATGTGAATGTATCATGTGATTGTATGATGTGAATATGGTATGTGAATGTATGGTGTGAATATTGGATGTGACTGTATCATGTGATTTTATGATGTGAATATTTTATGTGAATGTATAATGTGGTTGCAGTATGTGAATATTTTATGTGAATGTATCACGTGATTGCATGATGTGAATATTATATGTGAATGTATGGTGCGAATATTGTATGTGATTGTATCATGTGATTGTATGATGTGAATATTTTATGTGAATGTATGGTGTGATTGCATGATGTGAATATTATATGTGAATGTATGGTGTGATTGTATGATGTGAATATTTTATGTGAATGTATCATGTGATTGCTTGATGTGAATATTATATGTGAATGTATTATGTAAATGAAATATGTGAATGTATCATGTGAACTTATCACGTGACAGTATCCTGTGACCCACTTTTAGCGCTTGGTAGTGCTTCACGAGGTGGAATATCCTGAACATTCGGATAATCCTCAGGATAAACATAATCTCGATGACAAAACGCTCGTTCAGGTAGCAGGCCTGCATGCTGTCTGATTCTGTGAAGATCACCTGTCAAAACAGGACGTATCTGTCAATCATTGGGACAAGAATGAGCAGTGTGGGAATATGGACAGTGTGGGAATGTGGGCAGTGTGGGAATATGGACAGTGTGGGAATATGAGCAGTGTGGGAATATTGACAGTGTGGGAATATGGACAGTGGTGGAATATGAGCAGTGTGGGAATATGGACAGTGTGGGAATGTAGGCAGAGTGGGAATATGATCAGTCTTGGAATATGGGCAGTGTGGGAATATGAGCAGTGTGTGTGTGCGGGGGGGGGGGGGGTGAGGTATGGACAGTGTAGAGGTAAGGATGGTGTGGAAATATAGGGGCACTTATGTTGAGAAACCTATAACTTACATTAAGAAGTACTAATCTATGACTTCCCTGACCATATAGATATAGAGGCACTAATCTATGACTTACTTGAACATATAGAGGCACTAATGCTAGCAAATCTATGATATTCATCAAAGAGCGAACAAATTTAAGTTTGTCTGGTGCAAATATGAATCTGAAACAACAAAGTAGTGAAAGTTAGTTGCAGTTAAATACATTTCTTTCATAGATCATTGCTACATTGAGTTTTCGGGCAGATTTAGATAAACGGATGACGTTTATAAATAGGAATTTTTTTCCTGAGATCATTTTACTTGTTATCATTTGTGCTGATACATTTTCTCTTGATATCTTTTGTCCGTGAGATCATTTGTCCATGATATTATTTGTCCTGGTATATTTTCTCTTGATATCTTTTGTCCGTGAGATCATTTGTCCATGATATCATTTGTCCTGGTATATTTTCTCTTAATATCTTTTGTCCGTGAGATCATTTGTCCATGATATTATTTGTCCTGGTATATTTTCTCTTGATATCTTTTGTCCGTGAGATCATTTGTCCATGATATCATTTGTCCTGGTATATTTTCTCCTGATATCTTTTGTCCGTGAGATCATTTGTCCTTGAAATAATTTGTCTGTGCGATATTTTGTCTTGGATATTTTGTCTGAGGTAGTTTGTCCTGAGATCAATGAAGACATTTTAAAACTCTAAATTTTGCATTGTCCAATGGATTAAGACGTGTATTCTCCAAACTCAGAAACACTGCGGCTATGGTCGACTTTTCTATGGCCAGAAAAAAGACAGCGTTTGTTGGCCAAAATTAAAATCTTGTCTAGTAGTTAAACACCCACGCTTTTTTTTATTTAGGAGAGAAAGCACGTACAAATGCCATGTGTTGTAATAAAGATATGAGAATTTCGGCTATCTCAGCTTTCGAGTGCGTCTCGGTGAGAAAACTCATCTCTACAGCTCACAAAATGTCTCTTTACCAGCCATGGTGTAAAGCGTAAGACCTTAGTGTAAAGAGTAAAACATTGGTGTAAAGAGTAAAGAATGGTGTAAAGCTTAATAATTTTGTGTTAAGCGTAAGATCCCGTATGTAAAGTGTAAAACCATGATGTAAAACATAAGACCTCGATGTTAAGAGTAAGACATTTGTGTAAAGTGTAAGACCCGGATAGCTTACAGCCTTGTATGTAAAGCGTTTAACCTTGGTGTAAATCGTAATTTACCTGAGGATAAGTTCCAATGTAAAAAAGACTGTGCATATGATATCAAGGGTGTTTAAGGCTTCGTGTGACTTCATCACCTGCAGATTGACAAAGGTAGAACAAAAATAAATAAATAATTAAATATTAAACGTTGAAGTTGTCATAAAAAAAGTCGTTTAGTACACTACTGAGGAATTATTTTAAGTTTCATGGGAGATTTGAACATGTTTTCCCGTTCGTGCTCAAGACATGGGGCAGATAAAGTAGAGTTCATCTACTTCAGTGACCTCGGGATTTGAGGGAGTAGTCGGATCATCACCATGCCAGCCGCCTAAATTTTCCCTAACGTGAGTTAGATACCCATTTCAGATGGTGGAGACAGGGACGTATAACTGAGTTGAGCCCAGTATTCGAACTCGAGACTTTCTGGTTAGCAGTCTAGCGCCCTACCGCTAGGCCACGCCGTCCCATTGCATGGGGTTTTTAGGGGAGTAATTATACGTTTCATGCGGTATTCAGAGGAGTCGAATTATACTTTTCATGACGTATTTAAAGAGGTCGAGTTATACGTTTTATGGGTTATTTTGAAGGGTCTAAGTTTCTTGGGTCATTTAGAGAGGACTAATTTTAAATTTCGTGAGTTAGAGAGTCTAATTATAAGTTTAGTTAGAGAGTCTAATTATAAGTTTAATTTGACAATTAAAATTTGTTCGAATTTTAAATTTAATGGGGTATTTAAAGGGGTCTAATTATACGTTTCATGGGGTAGTTAAGATTGTAGATTTAAAAGCTTCATGTGGTATTTAAAGGGGTCTAATTATACGTTTCATTGGGTAGTTAAGATTGTAGATTTAAAAGCTTCATGTGGTATTTAAAGGGGTCTAATTATACGTTTCATTGGGTAGTTAAGCTTGTAGATTTAAAAGCTTCATGTGGTATTTAAAGGGGTCTAATTATACGTTTCATTGGGTAGTTAGCATTGTAGATTTAAAAGCTTCATGTGGTATTTAAAGGGGTCTAATTATACGTTTCATTGGGTAGTTAGCATTGTAGATTTAAAAGCTTCATGTGGTATTTAAAGGGGTCTAATTGAAGAGCCCAGTGCTAAAAGTACTTAAGTCACATTTTTGTGAAAATCAAACCAAGCATTGATCGTTATTCCTCTAGTTTAACTTTATCTTATAAACAAATAGTGATACTGAAGAATTTATTTAAGTTGCTCCTCCAAACAAACAAATAATATAAAAACGTAATGTTTTATAGTTAATTTTAATCTTTGAACTCATTTTTCTCAAAATGTTGTTTTTGTGACTTAAGTACTTTTAGCACTAATTTCTTCAATTATACGTTGAATGCGGCATTAACATGAGTGTGACCCTAATTTTCATACAGCCCTAAGAGGAGTGATCACAAACTTCATGGGGGCATTAAGAACAGTATGCTCTCAAAGACGCTTAGAGCACCCTCGCTCGGCTAAGCCTTAACTTTATTTTCTGTTGTGGTTTTAACACGTACAAAGGGCCTTAACCAGATAAAAAAATTCAACAGGGGAGAGAAGTGGTAGAAGTGCAGACACAATGCGGGACATTTTCAAAGATTTTTTTTTTACAATAAATAGTTCAACTCTACATTTTTCAAGAAGCCTGCACCACTCCCCCCACCCTACCTCATTGGGTTAACTGCAGTTTTTTAACGCCTATCACCCAAAGCCCTTGACTCCATTTAAAATAAACTTCAAAGAATGAAAAAAAAGTATTTTCAGAAATGTAAATTTAATTTAAAAAAAAAGAAAGATAATTTGATTTATGATATGACGTCAGGGAAACGCAAACGTTAGCCAAAAATGAACACGTCTGAACATTTTATCAGGGGTACTAAAACACACATTCTGATATGACTAGAATTTTTCTTCTCACATTCTGATATGACTAGAAATTTAAAAAAAATTTTTAATATCTCTCTGACGTCTTAATCCATCAGAAACACAGACGGACTGAAATATTTATAAATTGATTTTTATGTATTTATTATTTGCGGACATTGAGGTTAAGAATTGATTTTTTAAAACCAGAAAATGATGTTAATAAACACATAAAAACCGAATTGAGCAAAAGTGTAAAAAAAATATAATTTAAAATAATGAGTAGGTGAATCCCTTTCGACATATGGCCGAACATACATTAGACATATGGCCGTCAATACATTAGATATATGACCATAGATTAGACATATGACCGACCTTACATAGAAATATGACCATACATTAGACATATGAACATACATTAGACATATGACTATACATTAGACATATGACCGTCAATACATTAGACATATGAACATACATTAGACATAAGACTATACATTAGACATATGACCGAGCATACATTAGACATATGACCGAACATACATTAGACATATGGCTATACATTAGACATATGACCGACCATACATTAGACATATGACCGAACATACATTAGACATATGAATATACATTAGACATATGACCATACATTAGAATTATGAACATACATTAGACATATGACCATACATTAGACATATGACCATACATTAGGCATCTGACCGACCATACATTAGACATATGACCATACATTAGACATATGACCATACATTAGACATATGACCATACATTAGACATATGACCATACATTAGACATATGACCATACATTAGGCATATAACCGACCATACATTAGACATATGACCATACATTAGACATATGACCATACATTAGACATATGACCATACATTAGGCTTCTGACCGACCATACATTAGACATATGACCATACATTAGACATATGACCATACATAAGACATATGACCATACATTAGACATATGACCATACATTAGACATATGACCATAAAGATTTAACTCAGACAAAAAAACCCACAAAATTAAAATTTATGACAGTAACAAAAATATGTTTTACAGTGTTATTTGAAAGGGATCTATGAACAGTAGAACTGGGGGAGGGGGGGCGCAACTGGTGACACTAGACCTAGTGACGCCACTCTCCGCAACACAACATCCACACTGGTACCGTTGATCAAGTCAAAGTAGAGGGGTAACGATCACCGTCTAGTTTTATGTTCACCAATATGTATCATTACACATCCCTACTTTCTTCATTAAAGTCTCCAGACTGACGTAGACTAGTCTGAGCGGAGTCCTTGATTTATTAACTACTCAACATTGTAAGTTACCTTCATCGTGAAAGTTTACAGTCAGATTCACTGATTTATTTTCTAGATAAAAAAATATATCAATAAAAAAAAATTCATAATTACAGTAATAATCAGAATCAATGATAACTATATAACAAGAAAATATAATTTAGTCTCACAGTCTCACTATCAGAAAATATGATTTTGTCTCACTATCAGAAAATATGATTTTGTCTCACTATCAGAAAATATTATTTTTGTCTCAATATCCGAAAATATGATTTCATCTCACTATCAGCAAATATGATTTTTGTCACACTATCAGAAAATTTGATTTTGTCTCCCTATCCAAAAACATAATTTAGTCACATAGTCTCACTAGTTACCCATCTACTAAAGTTTAAACAAGTAATAATTTATCTAAGAGTTAGCTATAGGCCTGCTATAAAGTATTTACACTATTTACCGACGAAATCATTTATTGACGACTCCATTCATCTACCCAGCACGCTAGATTCGAAAAGTTTTTGGTACTTTACCTGCACTCTAACTCTACCTTCTGAGGGGACGGGTTTAAACTAAGCCAATTTACCTAACGTGCTAACAGGCACCTGCGCTAGTGATGCGAGCTCGGCCATTCATTTATTCAATAGCTCACCTCAACCCCTCCCCCCCCCCGGTCCTGGCATAATTGGATGTCTGCCCGGGGAGGAGACGAAGGGCTAGAAATTGGCACTCGTGATCTAATGATAGCTCTGTAGGTCACGTGACGAGAGAGAGCCGCCACCCCCCCCCCCCCCCCCCTCTCCCACCCTCACCTTATCGATGATGGGTAAAACCCCATCAACTTATCGCTAAATGGGACCAACAATTTTCTATTACCGATAGGGAGCCCACAGTGATGTCCCCTTACGGGCCTAGAGGCGAAGCCCACACTTATTTGTTCCGGTACGTTTCGCCGGATCGCAATTTACTTTTTAAACATTTGCATGTCCCTCGTCCTTCTCGTGACATCATTGATGAACCGTGCCATCATCTAATTAAGTAATTACACTCTCTTTTCAACTAATTTTCTCTTTCTCTCTCTTGATATATATATATATATATATATATATATATATATATATATATATATATATATATATATATATATATATATATGTATATATATATATACATATATATGTATATATATATATATATATATATATATATATATATATATATATATATATATATATATGTATATATATATGTATATATATATATATATATGTATATATGTATATATATATATATATATATATATATATATATATATATATATATATATATATAGTCGTATACATATATACATATATACATATATATATATCCCTGATATATATATATATATATATATATATATATATATATATATATATATAATCCCTAACATGTAAACTACATAGACATATAAATAAGTAAATAACCAATTCACACACACACACACACACACATATATATATATATATATATATATATATATATATATATATATATATATATATATATATATATATATATATATATATATATGTGTGTGTGTGTGTGTGTGTGTAAAAAATCCAACTCTGTACCGCAATTCTATTCAGACATCTCGTAACTGTTTTTTAGGCAATCTCCGAAATTGAAATATTACAAAACCTTTCTTTTGCGTACAACAGACAGCCAGCAAAGAAATTCTACTTTGATAGGAGCGACACAAAAACACATCACATTTTATTTTTTCTCTCTCCGAAGGAAAGGATTTAACAAGGAAAAGACCATCATTCATTTCCTTCTGTTTTAAGCCGGTCTCTGAGCCGATTCTTCCTTCTCTTTCGATGGCGGGTATTATCGCTCGGGCGCGGTGATAAGCTCAACATGTGTCCAGTGGCGAGCCCGGAGAAGGCAGGTCAGGCTGCTAGTACTGCTGGTTTTTTTTTAAAAGCTGAGTGAGCACAGTGGTTTGGCTGAACAATACTTTTGGATGGTGTGTTGTCTTGTGATTGGGAAAGTTACAGTGGAGCAAGAAGGATATCATGGTATAAGAAATAGCATCAGGCGTTATATTAGGAAATGACATCTTGGTTTAAAATGACACGAGTCAAGCTAGTTGTAAATATTAGAGATTGATTTATATGAAGAGCATCCGGTGTATAAGGAGGTAGCATTATGTATACGTTACTTCAAGCATTTATGTGGCATATTATATATAGGATAAATGAAATTCAGCACACTCGTAACATCTCACATAGATATGACATGTAGGAAAAAAGTGTCATATGGCATAACGGTGATATCTGACATTTGATGTTTTCCCACATGCATTTGACAGCTGGTATTTTATTCTGACATATATGCGACACATGACATATGTGTGACATACATAAACATACAGCTTTCATCATACAAATAAAAACAACCGTACACAATGACAGAAGATGATCTGGTGTTAATGTGACACATGTCACTCGAATGACATCTGACACTTGCCACACGATTGACAGCTGACACATGCCATACTAATGAGATCTGATACATGCAACACGATTGACATAAAACACATGGCATACGAATTACAAATGACGCATGTCATACGAAAGACATCTGATACATGCAGCACGAATGACATATAAGATATGTCATACGAATGACATCTGGCATATGCCATACGAATTTCACCTAACACTTATCACAAGAATGTCATCAAACACTTGTCATATGATTGACACCTGACACATGCCACTTAAATGACATCTGACACATACCAAACACGTATGACATCCGACCCACATGACATATGACATAGAGCCCGTACCCTGCCAAGCTCCCCGGGGTTCTCTCCGTCACACGGAGTTGTTATGTTGCTCCTCAGCTCCGGCAAAGTCTCCAGGCAGAATCCTGCGATCGACGTCACCACAAAAAGGAATGACGTCACACCGTACACCTGGAATTTTAAATGAAAAGTCATTAACAACTGGAGTATATTTAACTGAGACTAGATTTCGTTTCAAATCTAAATCTATAATGGGCCACGTTCGCACTTCTCTCTCTCTCTGTCCGCAAAATATTTTCGCCGGACATCACATCAGAATCTACAGCGATATATCGAGAACTTTTTACGGACTTTTGTTGAAAATAATATGTTAGATGTTTTAAATGTATAACCACAATTTTATTTAAAGAAGAAAAATATAAAATAAAGGCGTATTCAACTGTAGAAAAACAATTTTATTTATGCAACAGGAAAAGCATTTATAGATGTGAAAAAGAACGCATAAAACTGTGACGTCACTAATGCTTATACATTAACTAATGACGTCATCTGCCGTGTTTAGAATAAAAAGAAATGAACTATTTCATTCAAATTGGATTTAGATCTACGTACACTATGAAATGTATACAATATAATTTTTCCTCATTCAAATTTGATTTAGATCTACGTACACTATGAAATGTATACAATACAATTTTTCCGGCCTAAAATCATAAAATTTATGTTATTTAATTGGATTCTAGATCTAGAGATTCTAGATCTAGACTAGATCTAAATCTACGCAATAACAAGACGTAGACGCTAAGATATAGATTTAGACTCTAACTTCTCTAGAATCTATTCCAAGACTTAATTATTTTATAAAAAATCTTTGTTTTTGGAACTGGCTAATTTGGGATAAAAAAATCAATTTGAAAGAATAGGCATATTCGCGTAAGTTAAGATTTTAAAATACGTCTTTCATTCTCCGCGTTTAACTGGTACCTAAATAGCGGAGATCATAGTGTACTTAAAACCACGCAGGTGGTGCGGGTTCGAGACACACCAAGTCAACTTGGTTAATCTATTTTTTTTATTTTGCTCGGGATAAACTTTAAAAAAAAATTCTATTTGGATTCTAGATCTAGATCTACGGAAAAACTAGACTTACACAGATGTAGACCCTACCTAGATCTAGAATCTATTCAAACAATACATTTCTATACTAAAGTATTTCAGGCCTTAATTACTTTATTGAAATCTTTGTTTATCTATGCAATTTGCTAATCTCTATAATATATAAAGCAAAGTTGTCGGGTGTCCGATAGGGCACTTTCCGGCGCCGCAGGCGCTTCAAATTTGGCAGGATCTTGCCTTGGGGCGACAGAACACGGGGGCCGGTTGGCCGAAAAGTCTACGATGAGGGGGTCAAAACTGACCTCGACTGACCGGCGCCATAACTCTTCATAACTCCTGAGGTCGTAGACCGACCCTCGGGCGAATTAATTAAGCATTCAAATCCTCAATGTTTTCGAAAGCCTAAGCGAAGCTGGGCAGCATGCCTAGTGTTGGTATAAAAATTGAATTTTTTTTTTAAATATTTTTTTTGCCTAATTTGACGAGCAGAATTTTCCCCATTCTGTCCCCACACTTTGCAGTAAACCCTACATAATAACTTAACTGTGAAGGGCGCATAAAACGTGGCTTTCCCCACCCCTGTAATTTTTTGTTTGGGATCAACATCCAGTGCCTAGATACACACGCATGCACGCACGCAAGCACACACGCACATACACACGCACACACACACGGACATGTATATGCGCAAACACAAACACACACACACATATATGTCCGTGTGTGCATGTGTGTCCGTTTGTGTGTACCAAATAAGGAATGACTGGTAAATTTTAACATAACTGTACCATACGTACTTCTAACCAACCCCCCCCCCCCCCCCAATGTTTTGCACTGACCAGTACAGTAATGTTATCTTCTAACGACCGCAACCTGACCCAATCTTGTGAAAAAAAATTGTTCAAATTTCGTCCATAAAAAAAAAATGTTTCACCCACCAACCCCCTTCCCCGATAGACAAGCAATTTCAGATTTGATTTGAGCCCTGTGTCTATCTGATACAGCCGATCTCTCATCGTGTCTGTTGTATTATGAGCAGTGGTGGGGGTATATAGGTGGGGGATGGGGATGGAGGGAGGGAGAGAAAGGGGGGGGGGGAGTTTCAGACATCTCTGGGAGTGGAGTAGTGCTCCCTGGAGCACATCCACCTTCCGTCCCCCATGAAAATATATGTTACATCAAAAATACAATTTATATACTTTAACCAGTGTCACCCCCACCCGGAAATTTTAATAAGCCCCCCCCCCCCCCCGCCAAGTTTCAACAACACCCAGCTTGGCGACAAACGTCTAAAAAAACGTTGGTGTTGGGGCTAACCGGGCTGATAGCAAGGGCCTCAAATTTTAAGACCCTAAACTATTTTTTTTTAAAAACGCTAAAATGGTATTTAAAATTAAAATTGTGATACATACAATTATAGTCTTAAAGGACCACGGATAATATTCAGCCTGCTCCCCCCCCCCTTCAGGCTTAACCCGCCCCTGATGACACGTATGTTCTAGAACGTTATTTACCATGCACTTTGTGGCCCACGGTGAACGTGGGCCACAGGTCGCGTGGGTCACGTGGCTGAATCCGACCAACCAGCGCTCGATCCACGTCAACCAACCGTCTAATTATTTATTTTTAGAACGCTCTGATTTAGCGTTAATAGAAAACGTACACACGTACAGGCTGATAAAAAGCGCCCCAACCGCTTCAATTTTAAACTGATGGATCGAAGTTGTTTTGTTTTTGTTTAGTTTATGGGACTTCATTGCGCTCAGGCGCCATGCACTGGATGGAGTTATCGGAATTTCCTTGCTAGCTGCAAGATCAATAATTCACTTCGATGCCAAGTCAATGCCATATTTTTTTTAAAATAGAGAGATGATAAAAAACATGAAGCTCGAATCTCAAAGTTATGAATAGAGATCTCTTTGTGTTGTTTTTTATTCGTTATTTTTGTTTCGTTTTTTTATACACTTCGGATTTAGCTGATGAAGGGATGTCTGGTAAGCTTTTGTTGTTTTCAGAGGGTCAGAGGACAAAGGTCAAGAGGTCAGTGATGGGCAACAGATATGGCGGAGCAGAAACGTTGAGATGTCACAGCAGAAGTGGGACATGGTGAGTTCAAAGGTCAGTGTGTTAGAAAACTGGTAAACTTAGAAATGTATGAAAAAAACTTTTTTTTAACTTGAATAATGGCAAGTTCAGTTGTGTTTAAAATAGTACGGAAAATCTAAAATAGAATGTTAAAATAATGATAAAATATTAGCAATAATAATAAAATATTAACAATAATAACAAATAATAACAACAATAATAATAATAATGATAATAATAAAAAATAATAATAATGATACTTTAAATATTAATAATAAACATACATACTATTATAACTACAAAAACTACGATTATTTAAAATAATAATAAATATTATTATTATAGTTATTATTATTATTACTATTTTTACTACATATATATATATATATATATATATATATATATATATATATATATATATATATATATATATATGTATAAATCATTAATATTTATAGCACGCCATGGGGAAGGTGATTAAGAATTCAACGGTTTCTATACGCTGTAGCCTAACCTAATCTAATACACACAAAATACCAACATATTGGAGGCAAAAAACAGTACATCGTTCTTAATTAAGTTAATACACGAATTCATTAGCAACGGTATTGATCAGTTGACAAACCGACAAAATATAAAATGTAGGCGATGGCTAATCATCTACACGAGAGACAAGAAAACAATGTTAGAATGGATCTGAAAAACGGGAAAAATACAAAACATAGGTCATTAGAATAATGGGACAACATAAAATGTAAGCGATGGCCAGTCTTTAATTGGAGTTGATTTTGTTAATTATGAAGTAAACTACAGGAAATTCTGAAAGTCGTATTCAATTATATCAGAACCAAAGATCCACCAAGACATTTTTTTATACTGTTCAATTATAAGAGAACTAAAGATCAAACGCATAAATGTAACTTAGTATTAAAGTATAACCCAACACGGACATATGTTTGAGTGTTAAATTAAAACATAACCAAATATCAACCTGACATATTTACCTTAGTATTATATTGTAACGTAACCTGGACATTGAGTTTTTACTGTTAAATTTTATACAACTCGATTTAGTGTTAAAATATAACGAAATCCAAACATTACTTCCTTAATAACAAAATAAAAATCTCTCCCCGGACAATTATTTCTCAGCGTTAAATTATAATACCACTCGGACATTTGTTTTAGTGTTTAGTATTATATTATAACATAAGCTGGACATTGATTCCGTAGCGTTAATTAAACAAAACGAAATCCCCATCCATTCATTTATTCCTTAGTGTTAAATTAACCAACGAAATCCCAATCCATACATTGATTCCTTAGTGTTAAATTAACCAACGAAATCCCAATCCATACATTTATTCCTTAGTGTTAAATTAACCAACGAAATCCCAATCCATACATTTATTCCTTAGTGTTAAATTAACCAACGAAATCCCCATCCATACATTTATTCCTTAGTGTTAAATTAACCAACGAAATCCCCATCCATACATTTATTCCTTAGTGTTAAATTAACCAACGAAATCCCAATCCATACATTTATTCCTTAGTGTTAAATTAACCAACAAATCCCAATCCATACATTGATTCCTTAGTGTTAAATTAACCAACGAAATCCCCATCCATACATTTATTCCTTAGTGTTAAATTAACCAACGAAATCCCCATCCATACATTTATTCCTTAGTGTTAAATTAACCAACGAAATCCCCATCCATACATTTATTCCTTAGTGTTAAATTAACCAACGAAATCCCAATCCATACATTTATTCCTTAGTGTTAAATTAACCAACAAATCCCAATCCATACATTGATTCCTTAGTGTTAAATTAACCAACGAAATCCCAATCCATACATTTATTCCTTAGTGTTAAATTAACCAACGAAATCCCCATCCATACATTTATTCCTTAGTGTTAAATTAACCAACAAATCCCAATCCATACATTTATTCCTTAGTGTTAAATTAACCAACAAATCCCAATCCATATATTGATTCCTTAGTGTTAAATTAACCAACGAAATCCCAATCCATACATTTATTCCTTAGTGTTAAATTAACCAACGAAATCCCCATCCATACATTTATTCCTTAGTGTTAAATTAACCAACAAATCCCAATCCATACATTGATTCCTTAGTGTTAAATTAACCAACAAATCCCAATCCATACATTGATTCCTTAGTGTTAAATTAACCAACGAAATCCCCATCCATACATTTATTCCTTAGTGTTAAATTAACCATCAAAATCCCCATCCATACATTTATTCCTTAGTGTTAAATTAACCAACAAATCCCAATCCATACATTGATTCCTTAGTGTTAAATTAACCAACGAAATCCCAATCCATACATTTATTCCTTAGTGTTAAATTAACCATCAAAATCCCCATCCATACATTTATTCCTTAGTGTTAAATTAACCAACAAATCCCAATCCATACATTGATTCCTTAGTGTTAAATTAACCAACGAAATCCCAATCCATACATGTATTCCTTAGTGTTAAATTAACCAACAAATCCCAATCCATACATTGATTCCTTAGTGTTAAATTAACCAACAAATCCCAATCCATACATTGATTCCTTAGTGTTAAATTAACCAACGAAATCCCAATCCATACATTTATTCCTTAGTGTTAAATTAACCAACGAAATCCCCATCCATACATTTATTCCTTAGTGTTAAATTAACCAACGAAATCCCAATCCATACATTTATTCCTTAGTGTTAAATTAACCAACAAATCCCAATCCATACATTGATTCCTTAGTGTTAAATTAACCAACGAAATCCCAATCCATACATTTATTCCTTAGTGTTAAATTAACCAACGAAATCCCCATCCATACATTTATTCCTTAGTGTTAAATTAACCAACAAATCCCAATCCATACATTTATTCCTTAGTGTTAAATTAACCAACAAATCCCAATCCATATATTGATTCCTTAGTGTTAAATTAACCAACGAAATCCCAATCCATACATTTATTCCTTAGTGTTAAATTAACCAACGAAATCCCCATCCATACATTTATTCCTTAGTGTTAAATTAACCAACAAATCCCAATCCATACATTGATTCCTTAGTGTTAAATTAACCAACAAATCCCAATCCATACATTGATTCCTTAGTGTTAAATTAACCAACGAAATCCCCATCCATACATTTATTCCTTAGTGTTAAATTAACCAACGAAATCCCCATCCATACATTTATTCCTTAGTGTTAAATTAACCATCAAAATCCCCATCCATACATTTATTCCTTAGTGTTAAATTAACCAACAAATCCCAATCCATACATTGATTCCTTAGTGTTAAATTAACCAACGAAATCCCAATCCATACATTTATTCCTTAGTGTTAAATTAACCAACAAATCCCAATCCATACATTGATTCCTTAGTGTTAAATTAACCAACGAAATCCCAATCCATACATTGATTCCTTAGTGTTAAATTAACCAACGAAATCCCAATCCATACATTTATTCCTTAGTGTTAAATTAACCAACAAATCCCAATCCATACATTGATTCCTTAGTGTTAAATTAACCAACGAAATCCCAATCCATACATTTATTCCTTAGTGTTAAATTAACCAACAAATCCCAATCCATACATTGATTCCTTAGTGTTAAATTAACCAACGAAATCCCAATCCATACATTTATTCCTTAGTGTTAAATTAACCAACGAAATCCCCATCCATACATTTATTCCTTAGTGTTAAATTAACCATAGCAAAGTCCCGAACCGGACATTGATTCCTTAGTGTTAAATTAACCAACAAAATCCCCACCCGGACATTGATTCCTTAGTGTTAAATTGACAACAGAATCCCCACCCGGACATTATCTCCTTAGCGTTAAATTAACCACAACAAAATCCCCACCCTGACATTATCTCCTTAGCGTTAAATTAACCACAACAAAATCCCCACCCGGACATTGATTCCTTAGTGTTAAATTAACCACAACAAAATCCCCACCCGGACATTGATTTCTTAGTGTTAAATTACCAATGAAATCCCCATCTATACATTGATTCCTTGGTGTTCAATTAATTGTAACAAAATCTCTACACGGGCATTGATTCCTTAGCGTTAAATTAGCCACAACAAAATCCTAACCCGGACATTAATTCCTTAGTGTTAAATTAACCAACAAAATCCCCTACCCGGACATTGCTTCTATAGTGTTAAATTAACCAACAAAATCCCCACCCGGACATTCCTTACCATGGCAGCCCTGGACGTCCGCGGATACTCCAGCACCAGCCACACCGTCCACTGGATCTTCTGCCAGCCGGACAGGATGTTGAGGTCGATGTTGACGGCCTGGCTGCGGAGGCTGTGGTTGAAGCTGTCGAGGATGTGCTGGTTCTCGATGTACGACCGGTAGTGCCGCCAGCAGCAGGCTTTGATCTCAAGCTCGTTGATTTGCCAGAAGTCGAGTTCCCGCTTGACCACCGCGCCACACACCTCCAGCGGTACGTGAAGTTCACCTGGGGGAGGGAGAGAAGAGGGTGTGAAAACATGATGAAACTGAGACAATGAAATTTTTGGGGTAAAATTATGAACAACATGGGGTAGGTGTGATCGTAGAGCTTACGACTGCTAACCCGAAAGTCTCGAGTTCGAATCCCGGGTTAAAGTCACTAGAACGTCCTTGAGTCCACTCAGCTTTTATGGGGTAACTGACTCACGTTAGGGAAAGTAAATGCGGCTGAGCAAAGTGCTGAACATACTATCCCTTCATTCACAAAAAAAGGTGAACTCTACTTCACCTGCCACAGAAACCGTTAGGTTCTAATGATACTTCACTTGACTTTTTTTTTTAAATGTACAACGTGACGTCATAAAGAACCAGACTAAGCTTGAGCCTCGATGGGGGAATTTTTTTTTTTTTTTTCTGACAACACAAATCACTTCCCGAAATCTCGATGATAAATCATCTCTACCCGCCCCTCCCTTCCTACACGACCTCCAACATTCTCTCTATTCCAAGCCACCCCCTCCCCCCGTCTCCCTCACTCCAAAAAACGATAACCGCTATCTGCCTCCCAATACAAAGCCACTTGTGTGTTCTATTTTATCAAGTAAAAACAAAACAAAAAGGGAGGAAACTCCAGATCCTCTCGTAATTCAGTTACGTGTGTTATGGTGTTTGGTGGCCATTCCTTTAGAGTGTTGCTATGAATGCCAGGCCTAGTCTGCGGGTACCCAGTAGTGGATTAAGGGTGGAATGTAATAGAGCTAAGGCCGAGGTCACCTAAATTATACCCCCAACCCCTAAAATAATGTTATAAATAATTCAAAATATAAAAGTGCTTGTTACGCAATAGTCACTGCTATAAGCCAATGTACATACAAAGTATAACCCAACAGTTAGAAGGCCTTATTACATATGCCTACACAACTAACACATAGTTTATAAGTTACCATAGTAGGCTAGAGTAAAGATCACTAATATAAACATATATGGTAATCGATGCCATTGTTTTATTTAAAGTAATGGAAATGGTTGAGTGGTAGGGACAGACAATGCTATGCCAAAGACCTGAAGAGGTTTCCCTCTATCTACCCAGCTTTGGTGGCTACTGATTAGAACACTTTCAGAGTCCCCGCGTTAGCCATTTACAGTTTAACGTTACTTCATCAGACCTGTACATTCCCATTCGACTACTTTTACTAACATCTCATTGAAGATTTAGGCGCTTTATATATATATATATATATATATATATATATATATATATATATATATATATATATATATATATACATATATATATATACATATATATATATATATATATATATATATATATATATATATATATATATATATATTATATATATATATATATATATATATATATATATATATATATATATATATATATATATATATATATATATATATATATATATATATATGTGTAAATGCATACGTATGTGTATGCTTGTCTGTGCGCGTGTTTGTGTATGTGATGAACCACATGCATATACTCGTGCAATTCATCTGCCTCAGCAAAAACTGCATACGTTTGTTAAATAAATACTCTCCCATCTGCAAGCATCAGCATCTTTTATAAATGTCCATCAAATAATTAATAACAAATGATTCGTTGATTAAAAATAAAGTCACTGTAGTTTAAAAATCCACTCTTAGCAAGACTTTGGCGCCATTCCAAAAAATATTAGCGCCCCCATGTTTCGTTGAGAAAAACCCTTGATGATATCAGCACCTTAGATGAGAAGTCGTCCTTGAAACCCAAAAAAAAAAAAAAAAAAAAAAAAAAAAAAAAAAAAAAAAAAAAAAGAAACAATGCACTGTGGATAAAAAAAAATAAAAAACTTTACATGCTAAGTAAATGCATAAACGCCTTATATAAATAAAAATAAACTCAATACAACCAGCGCTTTCTGGATAAAATCAGGCGCCATTAAAAAAAAAAGTCACCAGCCCAGAAGACCATCTTGATTTGAAATGCTTATGCAAGAGATTACGGCCCAACCTCACCGCATCGCCAGGGAGGAGCTATCGTCTGTGATCAGACAGAAGGACGTGTTCCAAACTTGATAAAGTAAACACAAAAATAGAAGTTGCGCTCAATTGCGCATATTGTAGTCTGCCGGGAAACACGATACGCGCATGCGCGGATAGCATGTCTTCCGACAGCGAATTTTATTTTTTCTTGCTGAATTTGGTTACCGGAAGTCTAGGCAAATTTATATCTGACGTCATCCGGAGTAAACCTTTCACTGTGTTTGTTGTATGTATGCGTGTGTAAATTATAAGAGGGGTAAAATTATTCCGAGTCTTCGGATCAAGATTTGGGTGTTTTTTTTTTTACGCGAGAAACGTGAGGCGGTTAAAATATTGAGGAGATCTGGGTCAATCTATTATTGAATAATGAGTTTAGCGGGCTGTTTTTGAGTCGTTTGGGGAGGGGGGTGATAAAATTATTAAGGGGTGTGGAATATGTTTAGGAATAGAGGGGCATTTTGAAACCGTTGGGGATTTTTTTTGAAATAATATGCTGTTGTGGGGATGTGGTTGTGGTGGATGGTATAGGGGGTGGTGTTTGTGTTGGGGGATGGGTGATTGGGGTTTAGGGCGATGGTGTTTGTATGGTCGGTGTTGAGGATGATTAGTGCGTAGCTAAGGTTTATGGTTGATTGGTGCGTATCTGTGGGTTATGGGTGATTGGTGCGTAGATGTGGGTTATGGGTGATTGGTGTGTAGCTGTAGTTATGGGTGATTGGTGCCTAGCTGTGGAATAAGGGTGATTGGTGAGTAGCTGTGGGTTATGGGTGATTGGTGTGTAGCTGTAGTTATGGGTGATTGGTGCCTAGCTGTGGAATAAGGGTGATTGGTGTGTAGCTGTGGATGACGAGTGATTTGTGTGTAGCTGGGGCTTATACTAAAAGCTGTATGGTCAGTGGTTAATATAATGGATTAAGATTTTATTGTTTTACATTTTTGGAGGATAAAAATATATAAGTCGGAATTCTTGTTTTATGAACTTGTATGTCAAAGTATTACTATTTTCGTTGCTATGGTGTGGTAAGGAAAGTGTTAATGCGGCCACTTGCACTGAAGGCTAGGAGACAGTGGCGACGCTGGAGAAAATGTTATCATATTAGAATGTAAAGGTTAAAGAGTAGTGAGTGGGGTTAGGTTAAATTTTAAGAAAAAAAAACAAAATGTTATCATATTAGAATGTAAAGGTTAAAGAGTAGTGAGTGGGGTTAGGTTAAATATTAAGAAAAAAAAAACATGGGACAACACTGTAGGAATATTAATGGTGGGACAGGGTAAAAGGTCACAGAAATGATGATGTGTGTTGTGTGCTTGGGGGCAAGATGACAGGAGGTGGTGGGGTGAGTTGATGGTAGGGGTGGGCAGTGTGTTGTGAGGGGTGGAGCAGTGAGTTGAGAGGGTTGGGGTTGTGAGTCGTGAGGGGGTGGGGCGAGTTGATGGTAGGGGTGGGCAGTGTGTTGTGTGCTTGGGGGCAAGATGGCAGGAGGTGGTCTGGTGAGTTGATGGTAGGGGTGGGCAGTGTGTTGTGAGGGGTGGGGTTGTGAGTCGTGAGGGGGTGGGGCGAGTTGATGGTAGGGGTGGGGCAGTGAGTTGTGAGGGTGGGGTTGTGAGTCGTGAGGGGGTGGGGTGAGTTGATGGTAGGGGTGGGGCAGTGAGTTGTGAGGGTTGGGGTTGTGAGTCGTGAGGGGGTGGGGCGAGTTGATGGTAGGGGTGGGGCAGTGAGTTGTGAGGGTGGGGTTGTGAGTTGTGAGGTGGTGGGGTTGTGAGTTGTGAGGGGGTGGGGTGAGTTGATGGTAGGGGTGGGGCAGTGAGTTGTGAGGGTTGGGGTTGTGAGTCGTGAGGGGGTGGGGTGAGTTGATGGTAGGGGTGGGGCAGTGAGTTGTGAGGGGATGGGGCAGTGAATAGCGAGGAAGTGGGGCTCTAAGTCGTGAAGGTGTAGGGCTTTGAGTTGCGAAGGGGTGGGACAATAAGTCGTTAAGGGGTGGGATTGTGAGGTGTAAAGGGGTGGGGCTGTGAGTTGTAAAGGGGTGGGGGGGATCTGAGAAGTGAAGGAGTGGGGCAGTGAGACGTGAAGGGGTGGGGCTATGAGGTGTAAAGGGGTGGGGCAGTGAGACGTGAAGGGGTGGGGCTATGAGGTGTAAAGGGGTGGGGCAGTGAGACGTGAAGGGGTGGGGCTATGAGTTGTAAAGGGGTGGGGCAGTGAGTCGTGAAGGGGTGGGGCAGTGAGTCGTGAAGGGGTGGGGCAGTGAGTTGTGAAAGGGTGGGGCAGTGAGTCTTTAGTGGCGAGGGGGTGAGGGGGTGGGGCAGTGACTCGTCACTACAAAATCCCAGCAACGAATCTCTAGTCCAACAACTCACAACAACTTTCCAGAACAACGCTGCATTCATCCCTACAACCCTGCCATATCTAAAATCTTGAAATTCGAACCAAAACCTTTAACATTTTTTACGATCGCTCTATCTTACGGCCACTTGTATCCGATTTATTAATTTATTAACCCCATACATTTTTTTTAATGCGCATTCATTACCCAAGAACAGGAACTCATTTACATCTTAAAAAAAACAACCCTCACCCCACCCCCTCACCCCCACCATCTCCTCCTTTAGACAAAGCCCTAATCTTCTTGTCCCCTCTCCATAGAAAACACGGACATCAACCGACTTCCTTATTCCTTTCTTCCAGTCACGTGATATTTGGTTTTTTTTTTCTTTCTCTTGCTGGCGTGGTGACGTAATCAGAGATATGTATATGCGCACGGCTGTTCATTAATTTCTATTCTTGCAGTTTACGTGCGTGGAGGGAATATTCGCCGACAGGACCACGTCAGATGTGAATGGCCCCTTCAAGCGGAAAATGGCCGAAACAAAGAACAGACACGGAAATCTCCGATGCGGTCGTTACGGATGATGAAACAGCGGAAGTTGATATCAGGTTCACTTGAAAGTAGGAGT